TTGGTAAAAGACGCCCTGCTTACCCTTAATCCAGGTTGTCGGTGGGCTTGTGGGCGTTTTTGCTGGGCTTGTGGGCGCTTATTGACTTATAACGCTTGTGGGCGCTTTTGTGGGCTGCTAAGAGCTTTTGCTGGGCTTGTGGGCGCTTGGGCGCTTGTGCGCGCTCTTGCTGGGCTTGTGGGCGCTTTTGCTTTTTGCTGGGCTTGTGGGCGCTTGTGGGCGCTTTTGTTGGGCTGGCCCTTGTGGGCACTTTTGGGCGCTCGTGGGCTCTTGCTGGGCTTGTGGGCGCTTTTGCTTTGTTGCTCTTTCTGGGTTTGTGGGCATTGCGGGCGCTTGTGGGCGCTTGTGGGCGCCGGTTTTTGGGGCGCTCTTGCTGGGCTTGGTTGGCGCTCGTTTTGGGGGGCTCGTGGGTGCTCTGTTTGTGGGCGGGGTTGCGGGTGTGGGCTTGTAGCTCTTGGCTTGGTGGGTGGTGTTGCGGGCGCTGCGCTTTTCATGGGCTTGTGGGTGCTAGTGGGCACACGCGGGCTCTCTCTTGGTTTGCTTCCATGTGGGCGCATGTGGGCGCTTGCTTGTGGGCGGAAGTGCTGCGGGGCTTTCTGGCGGGCGCGTGAGCGCATGCTTGTGGGCGCTTGTGGGCGCAGGTGCTTTCTTGATGAAGTGTTGTGCTGCGGGTTGTGAACGCATACAAGCGCTTGGAAGAAGTGCCTCTTTGATGGGTGCTTGTGAGCGCACGTGAGCTTGTGGGCGCTTGTGGGCGCCAGTCAGTCTGGGTGGGTCATGAACGCATGCGGGTGGAAGTCTTGGCGGTGTGGGCGGTAGCGTTGCGGGCGCTCCAGTCATGGTATGAGGGCGCATGTGGGGCTGAACTGTTTTTGCGGGCGGTTTGCGCCCTTGTGTGGACGGTTTTAGCTGCCATGGACACTTTCAGTCGGCGGTGCGGGTACTGGCACTTGCGGTTGCTTCTCGGCGGCGTTTTTCGGGGTCGCCTTCATGCGTGTTGGGCGGCAGTGTTTAATGCCTTTCATGGGCGCTTGTGTGCGCTTGTGGGCGCTCTTTTGCGGGTCTTGTGGGCGCACGTGGGCGCTTGTGGGTGGAAGTGTTGCGTGCGTTCTCCACGAGTGTGCATGTGGGAGCTTGTGGGCGCTCAGCTTACGTTCGGATGTTTAGATGCTGCAGTCATCAGTGCAAGAGTAAATGGCGTCGGCATGTTCTTGAGACGCGCTGAGCCAGCGTCGACTTTGGGCGCTTGGGCAGGTTTGGGATCTGGGTGTTTTTTTTGGTGTTTTTCCTGTGTTTTCCCGTGGCTTCAAGTTTTTTTCTGGAGGGCAGAGGGCCCCCACAAGCCAAGGCCCCACATGAAGTTTGCTGATGTACATTTTGTCCGGTTCTATTTGAACTGCGCGCTAAACCGCTAAACGGCAGATATTTGTTAGTCCGCTTCAAGGACACCGTCATTGTAGCAGATTCCCGCATGTAGCACTCACTTAACAAATAACAGTCTGCGCCAGGAAAAAGCTGTGCTGGAGTACCTGCTTTCACGCGATTGAGCATTGCATCGTCCCATGTAAGCATAGGTAAGCCAAACCCAGTGATTCCAGGAAGCCCAGGTGCGATCAATGGTGACCGTGCTTTTTGGTTGACGGGTCATTGTGTTGTCTCTTCCTGGAGGTTATTTTTCTCTGGGGTGTTTCCCTTCAGCCTGCGCCTGTTTGGACGATGGCAAAATCACAGGGCCAGCAAACAACTCTTCAAAAGGAAGTCAACAAATACCAAAAGGATGAATCGCAATAATCTCGCTTAGATGCTGGTTGCAGGGGCTGACTAGAACCCATGTTTTCACTTATGAACCCAAAAGGCTGCACCAAAAGGGTGCGTCACAACAACCTCACTGACGTTAGGTCCTAGATACTGGGCCAAATAGGTGGCCCACCAAAAGGAGCTTCCTCTTAAAAGGGCGGTTTTCTGGGTTCCATGTCAATCTGCAGGGGGGTAGCTTCCACATTATTGTCAATATCAAAGCTCCGAATGTCCTTGTTTTCCTCTAGAACGTTTTTGAATGGCATCGTTATCATACTGGTTCAGAGCCATAGCAAGAGAGCCACTGCAGCCTAGCGACTATTAATGACAACGATGGGTTCATGACCTTTCCATGGCTCCTGTTGACGTGGCTATGAATTTGCAATGACTGGCCTGGAATGACTCGGCGAATTAAAGCTTGTGCGTTGCGAGCAACCGTGCATGGCCAGCAAAATGCCGGCCAGGCTTGAGTGCCTTGGGTGAATCACGACGAACTCATTGATGTTAATCCCTGGTTAACTGGGTGCTGAATAGCGCACAAGTTTTAATCGCCCAAAAAGGAAGACCGAAAGGGGATGGATAAGTGTTGTTTTGCCAGATGCCATTTTGCTCTCAGGCAAGTTACTTCCAGATTTGAATCCCTTCCCCCCATTCATAGATGCACCAAGTATCGCTTTTCCCCAGACCCAGATCCCCGATACTACTTGTAGAATAGGCCGATTCCAAAGCAATACTAAACTTGACTCCCTGCCCAACCCGGCCCTAGTCTTATTAGGGGGTACTTCAGGACCCTACCCTTTCAAAGTTTGTACTACTTTGCACTTTGGCTTCAAGGGATGAGTACATTTGCCCTAGGGAAGCCCATCTGACCCCTCATTTCCCAAAATATTGGTTGGCCTCCCCCAGGCAATATGTATTAAGAGGTGGGCGGGGGCGGGGTATTTATCATTCGCGGGGAGGGGGCTGGAAAATAATGAGGGCGGTCCCAGGTTCCTTCATGGTCTACCCGGGACCCATATCCCTTACCCCCAAGGCTCTTAGGACCTTTCAGTCAAAACCCTGTGATGGCTTCTGGCGAACAAGGCGGGGGGTTCTTAGGCCTCCTCCCATTTCCAATGGGCTCTTTCGGTCAGGCCCTATATTTCCTTTGGACACATCACCCTACCAGGAACTTTGATGTTTCAAACCATTTCAACGCACGACTTGGAAATATAGGGAACCCCGCTGAGTTCCTGCGATTCGCCCAGAATTCGATGCGGCCCGCGGCCCGCAATGTAAATGTCCAATCTCACCCGCCTCTCTCACCGTTTCGTGTTCAGTGCAATGGAAAATGGGGCCTTCTCGCGGACACGCGGCATAGACCTTTTCTTGGGACCGGTGAAGTAGGAAACAAAGACAGTTCTGACTCAGGTTCCTTCTCCGGGGCTGGAAGACGCGGGCCTCTTGACCAGTGGTCTCCTCCTTGACCAGAGGTCGGCTAAACAAATATGGAACAAAATCAGGAAGTCATGTTCAGTCGTTTGTTTTGTGTTCTTCTTTTTTTAATAGGGGAAACAACAATAGCATGTTGTTTCAGTGTGCCCGAGAGGTGTGCCAAGTTGATCTCCAAAAGGCAACCCGTGGGATGTGTTTGCTCTCCAGGCCATTTTAGCACCGGATTCGGGCGACAAAAAACGATGCTGGCGCTGCAAGGTCCTCAATGCCCAGTTGCCCAGTGCATTCCACACAGCTTCTGTACCCTCACTCTTTGGGTTCTAGGTCTAGGACTTCATATTTTTTGGGGTCCGGACCATTTAAGTTGTATCACAGAAGTGGGCTCTATGCCCTCATTTACACACACACACACATCTGGGGATCACCTTTTGTTTTCCATGTTACATTGGGTTTCCTTTTTTGGTAATGCATAATGGGAACCTGTAAGGCCTCGTCAAAATATCCAGTGTTTTTGTTGGCCAATTTGGAAGGGACCTATCCTTTGTAAAGGTCGCCCTTGGTACTCACCAACCGGTCCCTTTTCTTTCTTCTGGCAACTGGGCTAGCAAGGAAAACGCACATAAATGTGCCTGAAAGGAATCCACGGGGATAGGTAAGCTCGCTTCTTTGTCCGACCCCCTGCTACAACAAGGCAGGCCCATCTGGCAGCGTTTCTTTACAGCAGCTGGCCAATTGAACATGAAATAGCTGACCGAGAGAGGATTCGGTTTTGACACCTGCGGTGTTTGGCTGAGGGTCGTTAAATGAGGTAGGGTTCCTCATATTTCCTCGCAAAGCGTCGCGTTTTGGTGTTTGCAGCTGGGACGTGCAGTTGGGAATGTGGTTGAATGAGACATCGTTCAGAACCACTTGCGGGCGTAAACTGCAGGAGCATCTCCAACTTGCCAACTCCCTTTGGTTTGGTGGCGCGCTGGCCCAGCCTTGCCCGGTGCAGGGCCCTCTTGAGTTCAAATGACAATGTGACTTTGGGTAAAGGGAATCCACTACATCCGCAAGTTGGGGAAAAGGTTCTTGAGAATCGGACCCTCGGGTTTCGTTGTTTTTGTTTTTGTTTGGCAGGGGGTGCGTGTTCGGAGAACAGGAGTGGTTCGACTTTTTGGGGTTGGCTTACAGACTCACAAAGTGAGCAGCATGTATGTTTGGCAGCCATCACCAGTTCTTTGCGTCAAAGCTTCTAACACACTTCGGGATTACGCCCACTAGACAACTACCGTATGTTGGGCTGTTTTCCAGAACTCTTGCTCATTTTGCCAGGGTGTGCATTGCATGCATGATGCCACAAGCATGATTATCTTGTACTGCAATCTGGAACCCGCTTAATAGAATCTGATTTCGGATCCCCTGAGTATAGGCAGATCCTTTTGATTGATCCATCCCACCTCTAACCCCGCTGCCTCAAGACCCCTGGTAAGACCCGAATGAGGCCTCAATGGAATAGGTGGTTACGGAAGGGTCTGTAGGTTGGAGTTTGTGGGAAGTGTGGTTTGGGGTTGGCTTTCTTGTGGGCTTGTGGGCAACCACTTGCCTTTGTCGCATTTGGACATTGCCATCTACATAAATGAGTAGGCATCCAACATATCACCTGTCATGTGCCCAGAGAACATTTGGCACCTCTAGATTGAAATAGGGAAGCCACAAAGATCCACTCGCCATTGGGCGGGGGTGCCGTGCTCCTCGATATCCCGGCGGCTTGCGGCCATCCCTCTCGCAGCGGGCGCCGGCGCGCTTCGTCGACTCGGGTCGGGCGAGAGCGATGCCGCTGGATTTGTGCAAGACGCCATGGAACGTTCAGAAGATTTGCGAAGAGGCGGGCGAGAGACCAGAAGTAAACACACGGAACGGGATGGACATGTCAGTTGTCTTTTCTTTTGGGGTCTCAATCTAGCTTACAGAGCCAAGCTACTGTAAGTGGTTCAAAGCTCTTTCTCCCCCTGCGCGCACGAGTGGTTTCCTGGGCGAAAGCTGGAGTGAAGCCCGGCCGTCCTCTTCTTGAAGCCTTTCTACCGGCTTGCGGGCTGAACCTGCGGTTGCTGTTGATGCTCTGAGCTTGCTCCCCTTCTGTTGCCCTGTCCCACATTGGCTGTGTCATTTTATGCTATTTGTTAGGGGACCCCCCAAAAAAAAAATCGTGTTTGTTCTCGTGATTTCCCTTTAAGCACCATCCAACAAGGGTACCTACCCTCAACAAAGAAACACACCCAAGTTGAGTCAGTTCCCTGGACGCATCAAGGTGGCGACTATGATTCTCACATCTGGGTGGGGTATCGACTACCAGGCATTTAGCATTTGCTGATTTGGCCCAAACAAGAAGGCAAAAGTCAACAAAACCAGGTTGCTCAATGAAATTGACAGTGAGTAATGCAGGGCCCGCGGCTTTGAATGTTTTCTGTTGGCTCGGTCTGGATCGGATGACCCCAGTCGCGACAAATTCCGAGCGCCAATCGTGAGTGTCCTTTTGCTGCTTCGAGCCCCGCAACTCGGACAATGACTTAGACTATGTTGGAAAGCCGCGAAAAGGTCGGTCTTGGACAACCGAGCCAACAAAAAACATTCAAAGCCGTGCGCCCTGCACTACTCACTGTCAATTTCATTGAACAACCTGGTTTTGTTGACTTTTGCCTTTTCGTTTGGGCCAAATCAGCAAATGCTAGGAAGTCCTTGAAAGAAGGCCCTTTGGAGACACAACAGAGCGACCAAAAACATGTGGTTAGTACGGGGAGCACATTCAACAAGGGGCCCAACCGCATCAGTTCGTTGTTTGGGCATATGGGTTTGTCTCCAAGAGGGGCTTCCCATGATTTGATTTCCTTTGGGCCCCGATTTTGAGAACCGCCCATGTGGGCATCTTTCGGCGCAGGCAACTATGAAGGAGCTCAACGCCGACCTCCAGCGCGCTGTGCGCCAAGGTGCGGTATTGTTTGGAATGCGGCTGCGTGCAGCCGAAAGCAGACTGGTTGAACCTGGTGTTCCCAAAACACCATGAACCTTGCATTTGGGTCCAAAAAGAATGTTGATGGTATTTAGTCCGATTTGTTTAAACGCTCAGCGTCCCCCCAACCATTGCATGTGGGACGAGACTGGGAGTTTGGACATGGAAAAGGCAGCTGCTGGGGGCTGGTTTTGACTCTTTTTGGATCGGAAGAGCAATTCCGCGAGTTGCGTGTCTTCGTCTTTGGGGATCCGTAATTCAGCAAACGTGAAACGGCTTGCCAACATCTTGGATTGTGTCCCCACCTTGAGAAGGTGAGGGACCTCTCCTGATTAAGAACTGAGGAGGGGCGACACATTGTCAGTCCACATTCGACGTCGGTCATGCGTTGCCCAAAAAGGACTTCCGACCCGGCAGTCGGATCCATGGCCATCGCATTGACACGTTCGATTGAGGCAGCCCTTTCTCCCAAGTGGCAGACTCCAACTCCTTCTTGTACAGTACTACAGGGATATGAATCAGTTTTCCCTTGGGTTCATTTGCTTCAAATTTCGTTACCCAAAACCTTTAAAATCCCTTGAGCCAAGTTCCTCCCCCTAAGCATTGCCTACCACAAGTGCGGTATAGACAAAAAAAACATGTTCCTCCCTCTCCCCTCCCCCCCCACCCCACGCGTCCCCCCTCCCCCCCCAACCCCCCCCCCGCCTCCCTCAGGCGCGTCGGTGCCCCGGGAGTACCGCCTACAGGCGCCCGGGGAGGAAGTGGAGCTCACCGGCATGCGGCGCCACGATGCTCTGCGCCTGGACCAAACGGAACGCGCTTCGCTCGCCTCAGTCGACTGGGGTGAGTTGGGGTGAGTTGGGGTTGGGTGGGGTTGAGGTGGCCACGGGTCAAAATCAAAATCGTACCCCCAGTGAACATCCCAATCCAATTGACCCATGGCCAGGTGGAGACTTAAGGTGGATGGGGCTTGCCCCAAGCGAATCGACCTTTGAAACCTTTTGGTTTCCCCAGTTTGGTCCATTTCTAGTGAACGTCCTAAAAGGTGAACCTTTTATTTTTGGGGTCCTTTGGGCAAGTGAGTCAGAAGGGCGGGGAATACCTGACTTGCGGGGAGCCCCGGGACCCAAACAAAAGTCGCGTTTTGGGGAACCCCAGAAATTGAAAAGCCATGCAAAGTTACAGTTTGGTTGGGGGGAACTGCGTCCACCTTACTGTCCAAAGCGAATCTAACTGTTGACCTTTCGGTGTTTCTGTATTAGTGGGAATTTGAGTTGGTGGATTGGTGGGACACTGAAAGGAGGAAACGGCAGTCTCAGTTTCAAACAGCCTGAACGGTCTTTCAGGGTCTCCTTCTTGGAAGCAAACACCTTTTGTGTGGTTTTCCATTTTGTTTCTTCCTGGAGATTCCAATGCCGAGGAATTCCTAGGCGTTCTGGTTCTCAAGGCGTTTTAGGCGTTTTAGGCGTTTTAGGCGTTTTAGGCGTTTTAGGCGGTTTGCAGTTTTTGCGCTTTTTTTTTGCAGGCGTTTGCCCCCTTTTTTGAGTGCCGGTTCGAAGGAAGGAAACTGAAAAGGGCAAAAGGCCAGAAAGGTGAAGCATTGGCTAAACAAAGAAATGTTTAGGATTTAGGTTTTAAAAAATAAATCACCAGTGGTCCATATCAGAGGCGCAGCCTTCTTTGTCTGCGGCTTTCTCGCTCAGGAACGGCCGGGCCGGGGAGGTCCTGAGCCGGGTGGCAGATGATCAGGCGGGGAAAAGGTCAGTTTTGACCAACTTCCCATGCCTCACGCCCTGAGTTGAGTCAGGTCAATAATTAATTGGGGTTTGGCTACCAGAGTCAAAACCACCAAGAGTTTGGTTGGAGGGAAGCCTCCAGTTGTACCTTTGGAGCATATGCCAAGCCTCCCATGATTCCTTTCTCAAAGGGCCGGGGTATGCTCATTTATGGTATGCTGGAGTGTTCTTGGATGGTTACTTCTTTTGGTTCTCAGTCTCGTTGAGCGACGGCTTTGTTTTCCGTACGGAAATCGGGAAATGGCGTCTTTTGAGCCTTGTGGGCGCCTCTGGAAGGAATTGGACAAGGGCCGGTGGTTGAAACCTAAGCGGAGCGACAACTGAGAAAGTATTATTACAGTGTAAGGTTTGCATATCGAAAAGAAGCAGAAAACCATATGGCGCCACATTAAAAATCAAAACAACACGTGGGCGCCACCTCAAAAGGTGGACATGAATCTCCTAAATGATATCCGTCAAAAGACCCGGCCCAAAATTAATGGCCCATGTTGAGTCCCGGCCGGGCCAGGAAATGGCCAAGTTTCTCAATTTGGCCCAGTCCCAATTTCAGTTGGGCCACGAGAAGTGCAAATGCCTCGATCTGGTCCCAGTTGGGCCAAGAAAGGTCCGACCAAATTTCCCAATCTAGTCCCGGTTGACCCCATGGAACGGTGCAAATCGAGTTGGGCCACCGGGCCGCTTCGAGCCGCTTCGAGCCGCGTGCCAGGGCTTTTTGCTGGTGCGTGTCCAGCTGCCGGAGGGCGCCAAGAACATGTGCTTCACTTGGTCTGAAGGTCCAGGTGTGTCTTGTGTTAGGGGGCCCGCCCCAATATGGTGTTTTGGGGTGGTGTTCCTTCAGGTATTCCTTTAAAACGGCCACCTTTTGGGTGTTCGTTTGGGTGGTCCTTTAAAACCACCCAAGAAGAAAGGTTGCCACCGAAAAGTGGACACGCACCCATGCTTTCCTTTTGGGACAGCAGCTATCACAGTTTTTTTTGTCTGTTTGGGGCCCAAGCGGGCTCTGAATTGGGTTGCCCCAAGCCCTGAGCAACAGCTTGATCACCTTAGGCTGAATGGAAAAGCCGTATGTTCCTAGGTGTCCTTTTTGGGTTTTTGTTAATAGGTGAGTTCCACTGCTTTGGATGGGTTTAGGCCATCCATTTACCAGGGAAACCCATCTATTTCTCCAGAAGGCCACCTATACCTAAGTTGCCAGGCAGGAATAGGGGAGAAACATCCAAGTGTTTGCAAAGGTCTAATATATAATGCCCTTCCTGCTAAAATTATGGTTTTCTTTCCGACTGAAGGTGGTCCTGGCCCGAAAATTGGTTCCCTTGGGCAGTTGATCGGCCGTCTTGTGCTGGGCCCGTATGGCCAGATGCGACAGGGCAGTTGCAACGACATGGGTTGCCCTTCATGTCTGGTGATTGTTTAAAGGGAAGCCAAGAAGGGAAAACCCAAGCCATGCCCATGTAGCTGAGTTATTCTTGGAAGTATGCCACACTTGAGGTTGACCCCACATCAATCAACCCCAGTTTATTAATAGGGGGTGTTCCCCTCCAAAAGTGATGATTCCCACTAAAGCCGGGGACATCCCCCAATCAAACTGGGCTCGATTCATATCGGAGCCACAAATCACCAGCCCCAAGGCCATGGCAAAGTTACGCGCGCCCGTCTAAGGAAGATCCAGCCGCGATGCCTGAAGCCCATTAGGCGCCTGACCGCATCCGGCTATCCAACCAGGGGGCTGGAAATCGCCAAGGGCAAAAACAAATACACATCTTATCCCAGTTCAATCAGGATGAAATATGGGTTTAAAGTGCCCCAAGCCCCCTTCGAAGTCAAAGACATCCTCTTGTTTACACTTGGTTTTCCAGTCTTTACCTGCTTTGGTCAGGTAACTCCTAATTGGTGGATTGCTGGCTTGGGGATTTGATCCCCATTTTGTAGAGGGTACAGGGGACACCACCCCTAACCACCAAACCACTGGGCTCCAAACCACCAATTCAATTAGAATGAAGCTGACTTTAGCCACATGTGGACTTTGGGCTGGCAGGCATCCCAAGGACGGCCGACCTCGTGGGGGGCGCTTGACAGGCACCCGATTGAAGGGGGCAGGGAGGCGATGCACTGCCCAAGTGCTAGACAGGGATCCATGTTCCTCTGGCCGCGTTTGGGTTCCATGTTCAGCAAAGAAGTGCATACTGTTTGGACCTTCAAGACCTTTTAAGACCATTTCAAGACCCCGTCACTGTCTTGAAGAGGCTTTTTAGTTCCATGTTTTTGGTTCGCTTGCAATTTTGTCAACCGTGCTTGCAATTGTTTAAACCTTCGACGGGTTTATGGCCATCGGCTTGCCGCCACAAAAGCAACAGTCAGCCCAGGCCAACGCGTTTTGAGGTATGGATTTTGGACTGTTGGGGTTCCTTTTTCGTGATGTTAGTCTCAAGGACAAAGGACAAGATGTCGTTAGGCCCCTGCATTCGCATGAAAGCTTAGCAGGAAAAGCAGTTGCAAAGTCCAGTAACATCCAGAGAAATCCTGCAACCACCCATGGATCCCCCCAATAGCCGTTTTCCTGGTCGTCCACTCAAAAGGCAAATTCACTCAAAGGGAGGTCCAGAAATCCTCTCAATTGCACGGGCTTTGCCGAAGCCGACATGCAGCGATTTGGCGGAATGCGTCGCACTTTCCGAATCTGGCAGTTTTACGTTTGCGGGTGGTTTGGTGGCTAGGTCCCCCAGTAGTGCCCCTTATCCCCTTTTTTGGGGGAGGGTTCTCCTGTTAAAATAGACTACAGCAAAAATTCCCTTATTCTAACCCTCTCTACTGGAGAACCTAGTTGGGGTCTTTTTCAATATTGTCAATGGTTTTCTTTCTTTCGGTGCACGCGCCATGTGCATCAGAATCTGGCCAAACGAGGTAATGGTACGAATTTAATGCGACAAGCACGGTGCTCCTGTTGCCCAAGGTTGCAGCAGCGCTTTGTTCCGATCCCGACGGAACATGGCAAGTCAGGTTACCCCGAATGGGTGGTTTGGATTGGTGGTTTGGGGATTTGAACTCCTGGTTCTTGTAGAGGTTAAATGGGTTAACCACTAAATTTCCGGGCTATTGGAGGCAAGCTGAGCAAGAGCGGAGTTCCTCTTCTTGAGGAAATGGGCTGTTCACTTCTACACCCAGGAGCCTCTTGTTGAGGCACACTGAAAACCTGTGTATTGAGTTTTGATTCTGATGCAACACGGCCAGTTGGGGCAGTGATGTGTGCTTTCCCTTTCTATCAAATACATGTCTCAACGTCCTGTGAGCCTACGTATTTGCACTGCTAGCTGGTCGGATATTAAACTTCGACTTGCTGTTTGAACACGTCATGTTCGTCACACAAGCACCCACAACCTATCATCCTACGACCCAGATTCACAGAACCTATGTTCAGGCGACCTGTGCAGCCATGTTGGTCTTCAGGTCAAGGGAGCCTCAGTTTGGCGCAAAAAAAAAACCTCGCGCCTCACGCGGGAGGCTTTGTGGATATGTACCACGATCATCCGGAGGCTGCTGCTTCTGTCCGGCCCACAGCGGCTTTTCAAGCGTAGTGCTTTCTGAAATGGATGCCCTCCAAGCAATTAACGTGGAACCTGACACCGGGGCTGCTGGAAGATCATATTTCTTTGAAAGGGACCTCCTGTCAGGTTCCTTGTCAATTGGTGGGAGGGTAGGTTGCTTACTGTTTTTGTTCCCCTGAGTTGGCTTCAAAGGAAGTCTATCACCACAGGATTTGTGCTTTACTGTATTTTCCAGCCATGGGCAGTGCAGTCCTCACAAAAGGCTCCTTCAAGGGATCGTACGTCCTAGTGCGGATTTTTTGAACAGACCATTTCAAGGTCCACACAGAGTTGCTCCGAGCTGTAAGATGGTTGAAATCCCAAGGCTGGACAACTGGCTTGGTGCCCGTGGCGTTTTGTTTTTTGGTAGGTCACTAGGGACTCAAAGTTCTACCCGGTCTACCCATTTGCCACGGTCTTTGACATAAACGTTGGGAGGTCTTTGGTTAGAGGCCTTTCTCTCAACAGGGCTTAGGGGTTTGGAAGAATTGGATGAGAGCTTTTGGACGATCATTTTTTGGTCGAACAAACAACTACTAGATTCCATGTTGGGAGGGTCTTCCCAGCCCGGGGAGGTTTCGGGGCTTTTGCATGTGAATGAGCTGAACCATTCCAAAGGGAAGTTTGCAGTCCAGCTTGGCATAATTTGAGCTTGGGCGGGAAGGTTTAAACACTTTGACCCCAGGTTGGTTCATTCGTTTGTCCCTCGAATTTGCTTGACGGGCCGGAACTCCGGAGGGTGTGAAACTGGACCAAAGTCAAGAAGATTCATTGCCATCCTCCCTCCCACGAACCCGGAAGTGCACCGAACCCCTGCCCAAAAGTATAGTTTTCCTAGGTGTTTGTTGGTGAGAGGATGTGAGAGGCAAACTTTCCTTTTTGCCCTGCTGCCCAAACCCAGCGGGTGCCATTTGGCCAAGCAAACAACAAGCAGAGTGTATGGGTTGGCAAGGTCTCACCCATAGAATTCAATGCCCCTCCGCGAGCGCCTTTTTCGGTTTCCGCAAAATGGGGGTCGGTTCCGATCCAGCGTCCTTTAAAGCCACATCCAACATGAACTACTCGGAAAATGCCCGATTGCGTTTTGTTGAGCCACTTTGGCGACCCAAAAAGTTTGCTGTGGCATTTCTTTGGTGAGGGCGCCCTTGTTGGGGGCCAGGGAAACAAGAAGGAAGCCACAAGTTTGGAGGGGTCCAACCTTTGTTGACACATCCATTTTGACACATACCCACCAATACTCACCAGATCTGTTTTTGGAGTTTTTTTTTTTATATATATATATAACAAACACGGGAAACCACGAGCTTGGAGATTCCCTAAAAAAAAAACAACATGGCGCGCCCATCAGACGTCTAGCGGCCGAGGTGGTCTCCTCCCGGCCCCCCACGGCGCGCTCCGCGCTGAGCGCTGCGGCCAGCAGTGTGCTGCGCCGGGACCTCAGCGGTCTGCCAGGTTTTGGTCACCGGCGTTCTCGTTCCCCTCATTTACCCAGATGGGTGGGTCTCTTTGGTTTGAAGTCACCGGTGGTTTTTTGTTCAAAGGGAACCCATCCACTGTTGTTTTTTTAGCGGACACCCCACCAGGTTTCCCTAAAAAATGAGAGACCTATATAGCAGGCAACCAATTGTTTTCCCCCCCTTCCCCCAGTGCATCTTCTAGTGTGGGCTCTATGTTTGTGGTTCCCAGGTTCCATTTACCCTCTCGCCAATGAGCATGGAACCAGACAAGGGGTCTCTTCAGAAGGAACATGGCCTTTCTTAAGCCCCGGCCCCGCCCAGTGGATCCACTTACCCATGTAGTCAAGCCAAGTGTTCCATGGCAAAGCAAGTTTGGTTTGCTTGTGTAGGCTCTATGTTTCTGGTTCCCCGTGGTTCCATTTACCCTCTCACCAATTGAGACAAGGGGTCGCTTTCAATGGACAATTGCCTTTCTAAGGGCCCCCCCCCCTCCAACCCCAGTGGATCCATGTACCTATATGTCATGCAACCCCTGGTGGTTTGGGGATTTGAACCCTTGGTTCTTGTAGAGGGTAAATGGGAAACCAGGGAACCCTCCCCAGTGGATCCACTTACCCCAACATGGAACCTGAGGTCGCGTTAAAAGAGGAATGGTCCAAACCAGGACCCCCGAACGTCAGGTTCCATGCTAATTGGTGGGAGGTCCTCTACAGGAGGGAACCAAGGGCTTGCCACCCTTTAAATGAGAAGTTTGCAGTGGCAGAAATGTATGTTGCAAGTTCGCAAATATAAGCTATTGTATTGTTTGCAGCGGGGTGGAAGCCGAGGTAGATATAGTTTTGAAACGGAGCCAAAGCAGCGTGGCCTGCTTTTGAGCATTTTTGCATTTGGTGACATACATCGGCGCAAAGCATAATTACCAACACCACAATGGCCTTGGTTGTGGACAACCAAAAAGCCCCCCCGCCCCCCCCCCCCCCCCCCCCCCCCCAAGTATCTGGGGCTCTGCCTTGAAGGGGCCCCTTGGCAACAGGAATCTGGGCGCAAAATCCTGGCCCAATTGAAGGAAAGCCACATTTGGTGTCTGACACTTTCCTAAACAAATGCTTGGCCCAGCAAACAAATCTTGGCGAAGGATCTGGCCCATGCCTAAAGATGATCTGTGGGAAGTGGTTTCAAATCAAAACCAACCAGCCAACTAGTCAACCAAAATGGCTGTCCTTTTTCCCCCACGGGACTTCTACTTGAGATCTGGGAATATGGCAAAGCAGCGTTTTTTGCGACAGCTCCTTGATAAAAGCCATGGCTGTAGATTTGCACTGCAGACATCCCGTAAAATGGTTGGCAGACATTCCTTGTAAGCAATGTGCAACAAAGGATAGAAGCTTACAAGTCACCTTTGAGGCTGGTGTTTGGTGATTGAAAGGGGTAACGAATCTCCTTAAGAGGTACCCAGGGACTGACGGATACCCGAATGCCCGCCCCCCGTCTTTCCGCAACCGAGGACAGAATCCAGCCGAAGAAACCAGCCGCTTGGTTTGACTCGCAGAACCAGGCCACTCGGCAGTGAAAGCCCGGGATTTCCATCCCACCCATCCATACGCGTCAATTGTTGCTTTTTTCGTCGATCAAATGATGGCCCTGGGTGACCTGGTCGTTTCATATATGTACCAGGGCCATCTATTTTCCCAAAAGGACACCTATGATCCCATCCCTCATTCTCTTTTCGTGCCCGACCTAAAAATGAAGCGGCCCAAAAGAATGTCCCGAATTTCGACTGGGATCACTGGAAAAGTGGGGCGCGGCGGGGTCACTTCGCCAATCCTGTGGGCAAACCTGAGGGCAGTTCTGAACATTTCCTTGGGCTTGTTCCCTGGGCTTGTTTCTCTGAAATAGTGTGTATATATATATGTTTGTATTATATATATATATATATTATATATGTGTGTGTATTATATACAGTGCATTTATACATATATATATATATATATATATATGTATACATATATGTGCGTACACATATATATATATATATGTACAATTTGTAGGTGACCTGGGCATCCCCATTGACGCCAGCCGCATTTTTTTTTGAGCAGGCTGCGGCCCAGACCACGAACATAAATGAAAGAAACCTTTGGAGAAAGCAGGCGCGGAGGCCAAATAAACAACACTGCTGCCAATGTCGCTATGTGTCAAGCTGCTGCCCTGACAACGGTGTCCCTTTTTGTTGGTTTCCCTTCCCATCACAAAACGAACACACGCCAACATGTCCCGTGTGCGAAATGACCGCCTACTTGAAATGCATAGACAAAGGTATTTGAGATGGAGATTCCGTGAACCGAAGGGTCCCCTGTTAAATTTACACCCACATGGAGTTCGTGAGATTGCTACTCTCACCAGGCTGTTATTGTTTTTGTTTTTGTTTTTGCCGAGGTAAGCTGATTGCTTCCGAGGGGAGCGGATAGTCTGGTCAATACGGCCAGTTCGCCATTAGCTGCGTGGGCGGGTTAGCTTTCCGGCGCCTCTGGCTGTCCGAGATTGAGTCAACACACCACGCTTTTGGGTGGGGACCGCTATCAGCCCCTGGGATGATGGCCCATGATGGCCATCCAATCAGAGTTTGCTCTATGGTCAGCCGAAGCAAGCGTGGCCATGGATGGTAGCAAACCACGCGAAGGTGTCATCCCCTTGTTGAAATATATTGCGAAAATGGGATTAAGTTGCGGGGATTTGTTTTTCGCACAAGCCAGAAGGATGCCCCAATTTTTGAGTCACCCGCCTGCCTGGGTGCTGTTTTGAATGATCTAGCAACGTGGAGGGAAATCTCTGCACCTGAGCGGATGCACCGAGTCTTGTTTTCCCAGATCTTCCTCCATGGACAGTGACCGAAGCTGAACTCGGCCCGAGTTTCACCATAGATGAGGTGCTTGCCCGAAGCAAATCGAGTGTATCTGACTGCGCTATTTTGGGCCAAGATCCCTACAGAATCCTTCGGGCAAGCGACGGTAGACGGTTTGATCCAAAGGACCAGGCAGCTCGAAATCGACGGATTGAGGGGCACTTTGGCTCAATCATGCTCAATTAGAAAAGGAGATGGAAGGTTCTCAGGGGTATGTGCCCGAGGGGGGGGGGTTGGCCAATAAGTTTCATTTGAGGACTGAGGGCCTGTGGGGGTATACAAGTGGTCAGAAGCCCTCGTTGCAACCCATTCGCACCTAGTCTCACTTGCGTGGGTATTCAGCGCTAGCCACTTGCCAAGTAAAGGAAACACGCCCTGCCAGCTTGACGGGAGATGGCGCTGCTTATTCTCGGCCCAAGGGCAGCACAGCATGAGGCTTGCGATCAATGTTGCATGGAGCTCCTACACCGTCAAAAAACCCGTGCGCCTTGCTGAAAAAGGGGGCGAATGGTCTCATGTAAGGGAGAAATGATGCATGCAACAAGCACGAATCCCCGGAGATTTGCCAGATCCCAAGGGCGACTTGCTTGTTGCGTAGAGCAGGCAGCACGCACCAGGACATACAGGTTCACATCGCGCGACGCGTGCAATGTGATGCTTAGACAGACGCCAGGCCGGTCCGGGTGTGAACGCAGATTTATATCCGTGCTGTTCTCCAGGCATGTATCCAAAGCCACCTGCTTGACGAGGATTGGATTCGCTAAGGCACATGGCAACAGAACTTCTCGGATTGGATGAATCGTATGACTTGGATGACCTAAGACAAATTCCCTGAAGATGCACTCATCTTTCGCTCGGGGCTTGATCACCACTTTCCTGAGGCTTGCCAAACTGGGCGTGAACCGATTCCCCACTGATGAAAGGGAACACGTCAAGCAGAGACTTGCTGATGTAAAAGGGAAGGCCTCAAGCAGAGATTTCCAAATTATTCAGCCACTGGACGCGGGATTGGGGTTTGCAGCCGCTTTCCAAAAGAACCGGGAACTTGAAAGTACCCAGTTGGTCAATGTCGCATGCCCAGATTTACCTAGAGACCCCCGAAGTGACAAAGTGATACTGGGAACGGGCCATGCCTCAATTGCCCAGTTTGGCCCCAGAAGTACAAGGTGATCACCTTTTGGGGCCATGATTGAAAATGGTTGCCAAAGAGGAGAAACTAGTCAGATCCAGTCGGTTCACTTCGGGCAACTGAGATTCTGTTCTCGCAAGGGGCCACCCTTTTCCACAAGGCCTGGGGGGTTGAAGACGTCCGGAAGCGGCCAAAGCTTTGGTCCGCTCAATTTCTCCTTGTGCTTCTCCAATTCAAAAATGTCAGTCTTCAAGCAAAGCGAGTCGACCAGATCAAACGCCTTTTCGTTTCTCCTTGTTGGTCACCATTTTTCGGCATGGCCCGAAAAAGTGATCACTTGGTATTCCTGGGTCCAAGCTGGTTACAACTGAGCCACGCCTCGCTGGCAGGATGCCGCAGTTTGGGCGATCCGCCCGGCAGCTCAGAAAGCTGAGTTATAGGCAGCCCCTGCTCATGTCTCACGGGTTCTGAGTAGAGGGAAAGTATTGCATCACATCAACCAAAGGAGCCTTATGACCGGATCTGGCCGGGTCAGGTTGGGCCTCAAGTTTCCCCTCAAAAGGACCTATGCAGCACTGGAACCCAGACGTAAATTGCGGGTGAATGTAACCGCTGATTCAGCCAAGCTTGCAAAGGTTTCCTGCCTTGCCACCAGCATGGAAGTGCACAAACTCTTTTTGGAGGACTGCTCCCATTGGAAAGTCTGTACACGTTTGCGCACTTTAATGGTTGTCTTTTTGTTTGTTTTTTTTGGGGGGGATCATCTTTTTTTGGCGAGCCAGAGTCCGTCTATGAACCCAAAAAAGTGTCTGTTCCCAGAAGGTTTGGGCAAATGAGAGGCGGAGGGCAGACTCAGCCCCAGCCGCTTTCAAGGTCTAAGGTCAGCACACCTTGGGCGTGCCCACGCACCCTTCGCATCTTAACATGTCCAAAGCCCCAAGATTCGCCTCAGGGTCCTGGCCAGGTAGTGGGTCAAAATTAGACTACCGGACCACTGTTGTCAGTCCATGTTTCTATTTACCAGGGTTCCATTTTGGGTACCCATTTGACCCACAGCAAGGTTTGTTGATGTGGGAAGCAACAAGAAAGCGACCATCATCCGACCATTCTTCGGTTCTTCATAGAGGTTACAGGGAACTGACGACTTCATGAGTTGTCCTCGTGAAGTCCTGATCCGTGGTCATTCTTTGGCAGCCTTGTGGATCGTTTGGCAGCTCCACCCACTTCCCAGTTGGTCCGCGCTTTGCCCTGTTTTGGCAACCGAATGCTGGACCTGTGGCATCAAGTCCTCGCGTTTTCCTGCTGCTGTTTACTGCCTGCCGCCAACTGCCCTTTTTTCGCCCCAACGCATTTCAAACTCCCAGTATGTCCATGACTTGTTCCGTGCGTTTTACTTATTTGATTCCTTCCAGAACCTGGAGCTGTGTCACAGGATTTTTTACCTAAGAAAGTAGAAGCAGCCAGGGAAAAGTTAGGGGGAGCAACCAGGGTTTGGCCCTTGATCCTTGTTTTTTTTGACAGGATAGCGGTTCCCCTTCAGCTAATTGTTTTTTGCTTGGTCGGAGTCGTGAATCTATGTTCACTCCCTGAGTTGCCGGACTTTCGCTCCCGTTCTGTGGAGATTCGTGGCAAAGTTGAGACTTGTTTGTTCACCAACCCACGCAGGGAGTGTATATCCATTTGCACAAGACTGGGGAAGAACGCCAGGGCTGTGAGGGCTTCTTTGAAGATACTAACCATTAGAATTTCCAGATCCAAGTATGCCATACTTTGTTCCAGAGGGTCCTTTATATATGCCATACGTTCGGCTTTGGAGTTCACAGCGTGATCAAATCCAATATGCAGTCCTTAAAGCTTCCTCGGGTTTTGTGGCTGCATGTGGCCGCTTTCCCTTACTGCAAATTGGGAGCTCGCCGGCAAAAAAAAGGAACCACCCATGAAAGCTTTCTTGGAAGTCCTTTCCAGGTGAAATACTTTACTTTGCGGCTCCCAGCCATCCCGTCAGGTTTTTGGGAATTAACTTTTGCAAGGGGATCTGAGCACAGCGCAGTTCTTGATATCTCTCTCTCTCTCTCTGTCCGAGGACCAAGGCACAAAGATGCCATCCATGGGCGGAAGGGCTGGCCGCGACCTGCAGAGTTGCACTTTGGGCGTGAAGGCCCTGGTGGTCATCTTGGCGCCTTGACGTGGGAGTGGGCTGCCCGTGTTTCTCTTGTAGCTGGTGTGTGTGTGTGCTTGGGTTGGTTCAAAGGGAAGCCAAAAGGCAGTGAGGGGTCCATCCCTGCTTCCTCAAGGCAGAGGAGAAGAAGAGTGTTTCAGCCCATGTTGCTTCCTTAGACAAAAGTGCAAGGGATAAGCTCTCTACATGATGCTTCAATTGGTGGGGGGGGCTCGTTAGGATGTTAGAGGGGGCCGGGGGAAGCAGCATCCCCTTAAACACAAGAAAGCGAAAAGACCTCCATGAAAGTTTCTCCACAAGCTGTGGCTTCGGTTACCCCACCCTCTCTTTGCCAAAGCTGTGGGTTGCTAACCTCAAGGCAGTGGCCAAGCAGCGCGCAAGAAGTTGGTTTTGTTTTTTGTTGCCCGTCAACTCAGCTGGTCAGGCCAGTGACCCAGTCGGGTTTGGGTTTCCCTGGCCCTATCTGGGTCTTTGGAAGCCGGCCGCGCTCAGTTGCCTGTGGTGTACTGACTGCTTTTGACGCAAGCCCTGGTTCAAACAGGCCCATTCAACAGGGCACACCGGCCTTGCAATGTCCAGGCGCTAACATCCCAGACCTCCAGTGGGGTTTGCCCTTTGTTCCCTGTGCTTATTTTTGTGGCGGGGTCTGTTAAACATCCCATCGCCCAAACCAAAAGGTCCTCCTTTTCCTGTGGGGCATTTGCTGAATGTTTGTCGAGTTGCCCCTTCAGGAGCGGACATCGGTAGATGGCTGGGGCAAGCCCTGCAAACCCTTTAAAGCATCTCGGGCCACATGGCGGCTGTCCTTTCCTGAGGGCACCATCGGTCTGGGTGGTCTTGAAGGCAAAGTAAAACAGGAATGCCGCCATGTCTATGCCCCCCCCCGATTCAAGATTGGAAGAGACTATAATCTTTGGGAGCCCTGTATACATGCGCAGCCGGTTTGCATCAAAGATGTACCCCAAAAGCCATCAGAGGAGCCTCCTTGACGGATCGCCAAGCAACGTTCCATGTTAAACTTTCAGATAGCTTCCTTCCCCGATGTTTTGAAGCCAAACCCAAAATGGGTTCGAGCAACCAGGATCCGATCGCTTGCACCAAAGGACAACTCGGTGTGCATCGCAGAACCTATTTGCTGAAACCCTGTTAGGGTTACCCAATTTAGAATCCCTCGCATGGTGGCAATCACCAGCTAGGGAGCGGTATGACAAGCGTGGGGCGGGTGTTTTTGATGGGCACCATGCACCATGGCAAGGTGCCTATTGTGCTGGTCAGATTCCTCTTCCTTGACGCGCGCCCGCCAGAGTGCATGTTGGATATGCTGTGGCGGTGGAAAGTGACTTCCATGCCATGCTGTGCTCGAATCCCCACCCCCTACAGTAGCTTTTCTTGGTACAAGGACAGCACTGCAATACTGTGGGCTTTACAGCAGGATGTACATGTACGCGAAATCCACGCACCTCAAGCCAGCCTTTTCGTAATTTGGCCTCAGCCATATTTTGGTTCAGGGACCCTACCAATGTGACTTTGGTCTTGTTTGGTATTGAAAAAAAGGTGTAGTAGCCCCTAAACCCTTGGGGGGGCGGGGGTCCACGAAAATTGCCATGGCCATGAAAACGAGCAGTGTGAAAGTTCACAAGCACCTGGCCAATTACCCCTCGAAAGGAAACCCCCACCCGCCCCTTCGTCCGGTTTTCCACATGTCTACCCTTGTGCAAAGGGCAGGTTTTGTGAACTCCGTTGCGTTGCCAGTGCCTGGAAATGAGCAAGCCGTTTGTGCAATGCCATTGTGATGCCCAGACCTCCAGGTCCATTGCTGCCAAGTGCTTGGGATTCCCGTCGCAAGTGACATGAGTGACCTCCAAAACCCCCACGCTTTTCACGCCAGGTCTGGGGCAGTGTGAACGATGCCGCCGTGTCAGCTGCCGAGAGATCGATTGAACGTCCATGGTGAACACGCTTTTTGGAGGTTCGCACAAATTTACTGTTGGGGCCTGTTTGTTTTTTTTGGGGGGGGCAAGATTTCAGGTTGCAAAACTACGTTGCCGAAACACACGGATGGGTTGTTTCCTTTAGACCCCAAAGAGAGGGACCTCAAAGTCTCCGAACCCCAAGCCTCATGAATCACGTGGGTGACCAGGTAATCGGAGTCATGATGCTCATGGAACGAGCCCTGATGTTTCTGGGGTCAGAAACTGGGTGGTTTTCCTTTAACCTACCATGCAATAATGGGGCCTGTACTAGTCCCGGCTTTCCAGCTCAGACCTTCGTGCCTTGCCCGGGCTCAGCGCGGTCTCGGAACAAAGCCTATTGCTCAAGGGTCAGAGAAGGGGAGGTATCCAGGCAACATATGCTTCCATTTGCTTAAGACTATTTTTCTATTTTCCCCTGTTGGTTTTAAAGGGAATCTATCACTACGTGAAATATGGTTATTTGTTCCAGGGGTCTTAGCCACATGGAAGTATGGCAACATGCTCACCTTAGTGGCATTGATTGCCAGCCACGCCAGGAATTCCATGATGGAACTGGACACCCGGGACCCCCCCCCCCATAGCTGCTGCATCGGGCGCTCTTTACATGTGATAAACTGTGTTTTAGCCGAAGCCTGTATGTGGTTTAGAAGAATTGTCGTCAGTTTGTGAGGGTAAAAGGAAAAGAAAGACACCAGACCACCTGAAACAAGCCTGGGATCAGGGGTTTTGTTTTGAGCCCAGATTGACCAAGTTTGACATTCCACGGGGATACTTGCCAGGGGTATGTGGTGGATCCCCTGAATCCTGCAAGTGAGCCGCTCCAAAAAGAGGTAGATTCAGCACTTTCCCTTGTTCCCTGCAATATGTTTGGAATCCACTTTGTATCTTACTCCTCCAAAAAAGCGGATCATGCCCAACATGGGAGTTCGAGTGAGTTGCTTCGAGATACCAGCTTCGCCGTCAGGGCCAGTGAAGTCTCTGCGTGACACTGTGCCCAGCAAGTTCGGGTTGAACCAGGTAAGATTGGCTCTTCTGGCATTGGAAGCTATGGAGCTTGCTTGATTTAGGGGGTGCAGACCCTTGTCGAGGCCCGTTATGATCTGCCAGAGATGGTCCCAAACAGACACTGTTAGGCATTATTAGGGCCTATTCGGCACCAAACGTGCCAGGATTTGGAATTGAGGGGGGGTGGTGGTGGGGTAAGATAGGCTTACCCATGCCGAAGATGTTTTTGAGGGATTGCTGGTAATTCAGGAACGGTTGGTGCATTAATTACCGTTAGTTAGCGCAGAAACCAATGAATTCTGATACGGGCCCAAAAAAGCCCGCAAATCGCCTGCCCGGATGTGAGGCCTATCCTAGGCCTTTTCCTGCTACGTGGTGAGGACGAATGCTTCCGCGCATGTGCGCGGCTTATGGTGTGCCCATGCCGAAGTTGAGCAGTGCGTAAAACTCCGATGCTCAATTTTAGTGGGGGGTGGTTCGACTACCTGGTTTAATGAGGCTTGTGGAAAGGCCTATATAAAACATGTGAAGCATTCTGGCATCACCGGTCGGTTTCGGGCGCTGCTCGCTTGGTGTTTTGGTTGACTGCTTGGGTGTCCACCCCATGGAATCTCGGCCTAGCTAGAATGGGATCTCGGCCAGGGTGTCAACCCACTCAATCTAGAGAACAAGCACAAGTTTCAGACCTCCAGTTGTGCCGTTCTCTTTGGAAAGCTTCGTCTTGAAAATCGACCCAAGCAAAAGGTGCCCCTCTTGCCCCAAATTCACACGACCAACAAAAACTGACTCCTGAGCGCTGCCGAGGCTACGAGCGCTTGAGTAAGATTTGGCTCTTCAACGAATGCTGCGGTGTCCAGCAGGATGTGTCCAGGCCTCAGGAGTCTTGGGAGTCTGAGGTCGGTTTCTGATCGAAGTCAACTGGTTGGTGGTGCAACCTGTAACCTACCACTGAACAGATGACTTTGAGAGTACAAAAATTTGGCCAGTGAGTCGTCCAGAACCTTGGATGTTCGGACCCTTCGGCTTTTCGGTGTCTTTTTAGCGAACAGTTATAAGCTAAAATAGACAGGCAACCAACACAAGCCCCTTCCAACTTGGCGCGCTTTGAGCCTCATACGAAAAGAACAAGGGCTGGAACAAATCAAACGACACAATGCCAAAGGGAGGTTAGTACGGGCGTTGTACGTGCTTTTGATGCCACCATCTTGTTTCATGCCCAAAAGACACAAGGGGGCTGGATGATTTTTCAGGACGCTTTTTCCCCTCCTCATTTTGACACCCCAGGCAGCTAGAGGACTCTCACATATGAGTGGTGTCTATTTTGGGAAGCACAGTGCTTGGTCAATATCCGCGTCGGGACCCGCCAAAAATTGCTGACTTGAACGTTCCAAATGTCTCATATGGTTTCGGCCCAAAAACCAACGCACTACACCCAGGCTGGACAATGCGATATGCAGACACCATATAGCCGCCTGTAGTGGCCACTACGTAAAGGTATATCCCCCCCCAATTTCCGCTGGGACATTCTATTGGTTTGGAAAAGCGATAAAGCGATACATATATGGTCAAGGGTTTGCAAGTCCCCCCCTCCGCCTCCCCCCCTCCCCCCCCCATGGTTCCCAGTCCTCCCCCCCCCCTTGGTGTGGTTGGGGTGTGGTTTAGGGTTGGTTTATGGTTGGTCTAAGGCCACCCCTCCCCCTTGCCCTGTGGTGGGGTTGTAGTGGTTTAGACTTGGTTTAGGGTTGATCTAGTTGTAGTGGTTTAGGATGGTTGGTTTAGAGTGTGTTTAGTGTTGGTTTAAAATATGTGTTTAGGGTTGGCTCAAGGTTGGTTTATGGTTGGTTTAGAGTGTATTTAGTGTTGGTTTAGGATGTGTGTGTGGTTTTATCCTTGGTGCAGGGGTGGTTTAGATTAGTTTCGGGGTAGTTTAGAGTGTGTTTAGTGTTGGTATAAGATGATGCTTAGGGGTTGGTTTAATCTAAGGTTGGTTTACGGTTGGCTTAGGGTTGATTAAGTTGGTTCCGGCTTGGTTTGTAGTGTGTTCAGAACGTGTCAAGTATTGGTTTAAAGATGCGTGTTTCGAGCTAGTTTAGGCTTGGTTTAGGGTTAGTTTAGGGCTAGTTCAGGGCGTGCCGAGGTGTGGATTCAGGGGGTGAAGGGGCCGGGGTCTGGGGACCGCAGCAGCAGGGCTTCTCCCGGGGGTCGGGTTCTGAAAGGGGGGAGGGGGAGGGGGGGGGATACCATTGGGGGAGGGGGGGACTGGGAACCCGGAGCCCGGGACCATATATATATATATATATATATGTATATATGTATCAACCATTTTTAGTCCCCTGTTGCGAGACAACAAAACCATAGGGCGCAGGAGAATCAACACCATCTTTAGGGGTCCCCCATAGCTCCGAAACCTATGAGACACCACGAGAACCATGTCAGGACTTTCATCAGCGCATTGACCATCTTCGCGCTCATCGCCCTGGTCAGTGGGTTGTGGCCTCGGAGCATCAATTCATCCCCTCGCCGCTCCGATCAATTGCAAACCCAATAGGCTCAGATGGTTCCCTGGAACCCCAATATTGGATGGTTCCCTTTACACCCGTGCTAGGAATTCTTGACTGTCCTGGAGTAACTTCGTTTCGAGCAGTTCTGACCTCATAGAGTGCGCTTTCCCTTGTGCCCAAGCCATTCTGGGAAGCCGGCGGATCATTTCTGAGTGTTTGAGAGCTTGTCGTAAGGTGCATTTGTGTGTGTGTGTGTGTGTTGAGCAATGCTGTCCCTGTCCTGTCCTGTGTTGTGCTGTGTTGTGTGCGGGTAAATAAATACATATATATATATAACATATATTACATATATTTATGTGTCACAGTGCAAGGGTGGGTTTGTGTGTTTGTTGTGTGCTGTTGTGTGTTGTTGTGCGTTTGTTGTGGGTGTGTGTTTGTTGTGCGTTTGTTGTGTGATTGTGTGTTTGTGTGTGTGTGCTGTTCTGTCGTGTCCTGCGATGTGCTATGTTGCGTTGTGTGGTTTGTGTGGTTTGTGTGGTTTGTGTGGTTTGTGTGGTTTGTGTGGTTTGTGTGGTTTGTGTGGTTTGTGTGGTTTGTGTGGTTTGTGTGGTTTGTGTGGTTTGTGTGGTTTGTGTGGTTTGTGTGGTTTGTGTGGTTTGTGTGTGTTTGTCCTCCTTTTTTCCGTTGGATGTGTTTGTGTTTTGTTGGTTTATTTATTTCGTTGTGCGGTTGTGTCTCGTGCTGGTCTTGGCGTGTGTGTGTGTGTGTGTGGGTGTGTGGGTGTGTGGGTGTGTGGGTGTGGGTGTGTGTGTGTGTGTGTGTTTGCATTTCTGTTTGTCGTGCTGCTTGTGTTGTGTTTTGTTTGTTCGTGGTTTGTTGTGTTTTCACTGTTGTCTATCTGTCTGGGAACTAATCACGGGTCTTAGCGTTTCTGCTGTAGCCACTGTAGGCTTTAGGCCCAGTCTTGGGTTCAGCGCCGCCAGGCTGAACGACTTCTACTTACTTTGGCTTCGTGACCAGGCCATCATGAAATGGCCAGGCGCGGCACGCAGTCCATGGCATTGCCATGAGCTGGCAACATTGCTGGCAGCCTCTTTCTTTGGAGGGGTGTGATGGCAACAGAAATTACCCACGAACACCAGCGCCCCTGGGGGCCTGCAAGTGACTGCCCCTACAGCATTTTGCAGGCATAGTGGAGTTGGTTGCGTGGTCCCTTCTGATTGTGGGGAAACGGTTCCCACTCGTAGAATGTTACGTATGTATGTGTGGTCCTATGTGCACATATATGTGTGGATATGTTGTCTTAGTTCCCTTGTCTATGCGCGTGTTTATTTGCTCGTGTATCCATGTATTTATCCGGGTACTTATGTGGTTTCTCAATCATGTAGTACATGTAGTTATGTTTAGTGGCACTTTCTTGGCATATGGAAAGGCACGGACGTAGGCCTGGTCGCCCTGAATGGCATCCTCGACCTTCTCTGCGCTACAGTGGCTGCGGCCTCAAAGCCTTCGAAGACACATTTGCGTGTTTCTGTTTTGGAGGTTACGACTTGGGACTATGTGGGCGACCCCACCCGCAAAAGTGTTCCCAAGTCATCAGGCAATCCCAGAAACCCTTAGCGTGCAAGTCATACCTCTTTTTTGTGGATTCAAAGCGAAACCAAAAGGAACACCATTTTGGGGACCCCTAAAAACGACATACCAATTTCTAGCTTGACTGCTGTTTGGTTGGATGTTGAACATTTTCCCTCCGGTCGACATGTCCATGGAACCCACCAGTAGCTCCATTTTTTAAGGAACATGGTCTTGCAGGACCTTTCTGTGAGATTGCATGTGAGACTTTTGGCAAAATAATTGGGGTCCCACTAACGCTTCTAAAAGTTACTCACCAAGCTAGGGGTAGCATCCCCTTCGCTGGATTTTTGGTCCGGGACCGAACTAGATTGTGACGAACGTGGCTACATATGTGCTGTATATCCCGTCAAGGCCCTGTAAATCGCCATCTTAGTCTCAGAGGTGCCTTTCTGTTCCATAAAAGTGAGATGCCACCTAGTACAATATTCATTGAATCGCCTAGAGACACTACTGGTCCCTTTCCAGAAAACCCCAAAACACCTCCGGGAGCTGCTGTTTGAACATGTCAACCCCTCCAGATTGGCTCTCACCAATTGGTTAGAGCCTCAGAGCCCCAAGGTTATCAACAGGGTTTTCGTGTTGCCTGCTATTTGATCCCAACTGTCCCTGTAATGACCCCCCAAAAAATGTCGACACGGGAAATGACTTCCATGTTGCGACTCGACATGTCATCGTGAGCCCGTGTAGTTTCCACTCATCCAGAAGGCAAAAGGGGAATGGCCGGCTTGGGTCAGAGCAGTTGCACCCTGGAAAGGGGAGTCAGAATGGCAGAATCAAACAGGGGCTTGACTGGGTAGGTCACTTTGGTTGAAGGATTGAATGGTGGTTTCAATTTGGTTTTACACATTTACCGGTGGAACCCGCATTTTCTTTTTCTCAAAAGGACACCTATGGTGGCTTGAACATGTAAGGGTTGGGCCCTGACATTTACCAAGCAAGCGTGCCAAGTCGATCTGACCCCCCCAGTTGGTTCCTCAAAGGCGGCCGCCCTTAGGCCGTACACATGTGGCGAATTCTGCACGGCAGGGGCCTTGGAGTTTTTCTTTGGCAAAGTGAGGGCTTTTACTGCCTAGGTTTATGGGGTTCATAGCAACGCCTGTCAAATTTGAAAGTTATGGTGCCAGAACCAAGCGACAGGCTTAGATCCCTTGGAGTGGCTCGCCCCTGTGACAATTAAGACGGCATCAATTAGCAGATAATTTGTTGATCTGCAAATAGGGTGACCAATTGCAACGAGCTCGCGTTGATGACTACGGATCCGAGCTGACATGAGGGTCTTTGTTAGTAGAGTGGGTCCGAATCACTTTTGGGAGCTATGATTCCGCCAGGCATACCCCTTTGGAGATTCCCTTGGAAGCTTCCAGATCCCCAAGCCGTTGCTTTGTCACGCAAGATGGCTAGGGTGTGTTGCTATTGATGACTTAGTCGACAGCCTACACTTTTTGTGATTTCCCTTGGTGTTAACCTGCCAGGTATATGGGTTTTTGTTTGTTGAGGCAGCCCTTTTCACCAAGTTTAAAATGGACACCAACAGGCAAACCCCCTTCCCCCCCGCCCCCCCATCCCCCCCATCCCCCCCATTCCCCCCCTTCCCCCCCTTCCCCCCCCCTTCCCCCCCTTCCCCCCCCTTCCCCCTTCCCCCTTCCCCCCCTTCCCCCCCCCCATTCCCCCCCATTCCCCCCCATTCCCCCCCTTCCCCCCTTCCCCCTTCCCCCTTCCCCCCTTCCTTCCCCCCCTCCCCGCCATGTTTCACCAAGGTTAAGATGGAAACCAACAGGTCCCCCCCCCGCCATGTTGACCCATGGTCACATAGAACGAGGACATGTCGTTGGAGCCCTTCGAAGGCATGGCGAGCTTCCAGACGATGCGCACGGTGGTGACCTTTGTCGACGACGACGAGGCCAGGGGAAGAGAACCTGCGGTTTGCCCTAGCTCTTGAATCTTGAGCCATACTCAAGTGTTTAAAGAATCTGTTTTGGCCAATCCGCGGAAGTGAGTTGTTCCAATGCCAGCCTTCTCAATCCCTACATTAGCTGCCTCTGAGCTGCCCCTCTTTGACGGGATCGCACACTGCTTGGGCTCCGGGAGAAATTTGTTCTTTGGCTCATTCAAGAATCTCGAAAGGGCGACTGCAAAAGCACAGTGTTTGCTGCTCCAAGGGTCGGTGAGCAAAGATGCGTGGCTGCTTTCTGTGGCTGGGCGACCAAACGCAGACGGAGAGTGGGACATAGCCATGGCTCCCGGCCGCCGAACTCGCGGCCGTCAGGGGCAGCAGCAGAGCAGCCGAGGTGCGGGGCCCTTCAGCCGCCATCCCGCGCCTGCAGGGGTCATTTTGACGGTTTCTGGGGATTAAAGTCAGAACTGGGGTTGTTTCCCTTTAACCCACCACTTAGGGGTTTAACATCTTCAATGTGATAGGGTATTGGTGTTGTACGGCTGGCCGAACTTATTGCGACTGCCAGGGAATGCATGTGCAATGGTCAGCATGTACACCTTTGGTGACTTGGACCATGGTGAAACCATGAGGCCAGTGTTGGCCGTTACTCTCCCGCACTTCACTGACCCGAATTCCGATGGCAAAGTTTGAGCCAGAGACCGGGCAACAGCTAGGTCAGGGGGGGTTGAATTTTGCCATTCAGTTTTCCCTGTGTGGGGCTGTGTTTGTTTGGACAAAAGCATCAACCCGTTTTAACTATGTCCCTTTGTAGCAGTGATCTTGATGATGGAGGTCCTGCATGCCTGCATGCATGACATTTTTCAACCTCTCAGAGCCCTTCACCAGTTACCCAGCGGCGCCCTTTTTTTCTTTTTGTGGGGGAAGGGTTCCCCTTTAAACGTCAACCAACCAAGAAAGATGCCCTTTTTGTAAGGAAACCCCCAGGAAGCCACGGAAACTGGGGGCCAACACGCCATATCGAACAGGTCCGAACAGGTCCCCCGGCTTTTTGTGCGACCGCCCGCAGTCCCGAAGCACTCCCATGAGGACTATTTTCTCAATAGGCGGAGTGTTTCTGGAAAAACGCCCCCGCCACCGCGAAAAGGCTTTGAACCTTATGAGAAGAGGTTCTTAGAAGCTCAGATGCCCAGTGGATTTCCATGGAACTTCGCCTGACAACTCGTTGACTTTATGGTGATTTGGTTGGATGTTTATACTTCAGCTGGTTGGTTGAATGAAGCAATTTTGGATTTTCCAGAGCGGACCCGCAAAAGTTAAGCTTTTTGTAGAGGGGTCAACAGCAACCGGGTTTGACTACAACAATGGCATGTTCCGAGTCACAACATCCGGGGAATCATGTTTGAGTTAGGCCGAGAGTTTGTGCCTTAGTGCTTTTGACGTGTCCTTTACACCAAGACTTCAGGAAGTAAATTCAAATGGCAAAGTTATCCTCATGTTTTCTGGGGTCTCTGTTGAACGTGAGGACCCTCTATATAGATAAGCCAGCCAGAATCAAACATGCGATGCTTGGTTGACGGGCAAGAGCTGAGGCGCTGCGGCCGTTTTTGTCTGTTTGGTTGCCAGCTTGTCTTGCCATTCGTCATGAGTAACACCTGGGGATTTAATTCATCATGGGTTGCGTAAGGCGTCCCCTGTCCGAGTCTGTCTTCTTCTTCTTCTTCTTCTTCTTCTTCTTCTTCTTCTTCTTCTTCTTCTTCTTCTTCTTCTTCTTCTTCTTCTTCTTCTTTTTGCGGGTACCCTTACTGGGGTGGTTTTCCTTTGTCCCTTGAAAGCAACAACAAATGGGTATCCTCAAAAAAAAACAAAAACTTTCAGTTTCTTTGGGATTGAGGATTGGCCATCCATTAGAAAGTGAAGCAACCGTGCTTTAGGGCTGGGAGCCTGGGAGGCTGGGTCTCCAGGATGAATCAACCTGCGGGGAAAACATGCCCCAAACGTGAAGGAGTCGAACAATTTCGAGATGGACCACCGTCTATTCTGGTTTTCTGGTTGGTTTTGAAATCTGGGTTCCCATGCTGATGGCAAGTGTCAAATTCCGTTGGAGAATTTGGCGGGTATGTCCTGCAGGCGTATTCCCTGTACCTCCACTAAGTTTGCAGCTGAGGTGTCTAGATCGACGCCTGTTCCCTTTCCAAGTGCCCGTGCAACTTGTTTTCCTGACGAATTGAAGCAGTATCCTGCCAATCAAATCCCTGCCTGCATTTGTCTTGCTGTTGTTGTTGACTGTTTTCCTGGGAAGTTCCAAGACAGAAAATCCAGGAACAAAAAACCAAACCAACACGGGAAAAAAAAACAAAAAAAGTCGGGACCCGTGTTCCTGTCTCTTTCACCTACTGTTCCTTGCTGACATAGCAGCATGGGTGGCGGAACCAACTCCGATTGCCCAGTTGTGAGCAAAGAGCTGGAGATTGACGCAGAGACGCTGCTGAGGCGGTGATCTGCTGCTCCCCCCAAAAATGTGGGTTACTGGAATCCATTTTTCCATTGGCTACTTGTTGGGTTATCGGCTTGTTGACTTGTTATATGTTTGGCCTTTGTAGAATCTGGAATATCTTGGTACCCTTTGCACTGAGATTCAAAAACAAACCAAAAGGCAAACCAATATCCATGTTTAGCCCCGCTGTTTCACAGGGGTTTTGAAGTGGGTTTTCCAACATATCCTTTTTTCTGCGCAAATTAGGGTCTGGATTCGCGATAAATATGGGTAGCAAAAGCTGAGATAGCAAACCGCTGGGCTGCGTTTGAAGACCATTCATAAACATGTGTTCAGGGGTAAGAACAAATGTACCCTCCATGTTTCTGGGTCAATTTGGTGACGGGTAGTAAAGCTTGAAATCGTAGGTTGAGGGTTGAACAATGATCACGGACCAAGACACACAGAAGTTCAGGCAGTCCGACCGTCCGACCTGAGATTCCATTGGGTCCATTGCAATGCCCCCAACAAGTCCAATGAGGAATGAAGGACAGTTCGGGACTGCCTTCCCCCCCTTCTTTCCCCCTCCGCCATTCAAACTCCCAAGCGCTTAAAGGATACATTTGGCCCAATCAAGTTGATGCAGGGAAGCCAAATCCTTGTAAAGCAGGTGTTTGCTGGAGGTACCTTTTAAGGAATCCTGTGCAACTTGGGTAGCGGTAGATGTGCTAAATAGCAACTCCCCCCCATGTTGCCAGAGCATTTCCTATAGTAGGGGCCATCTGGGAGTCTTTCATTTTCCCCAAAGGTCACAGAGGGTGTCCACTACCCCTAAACCACTCCAAAGAAAAAATGAGGTAGCTGGAAACGAGCCATGACATCTCCATGATGTCAAGAACCGATATCCAAACTTGTTTCGCATTGTAGTCTGATTTGGCCAGACTTTCTCATGTCCGAGTCTTCAAAGCAGGGGTCTTTGGCAGGGGGTGCGAGGCTGCCGGGGAGTCGGCTGGAGAATTCCCCCAGTGGCTTCCGAGACGGACGGATGTAGAACCTTGCACAGAAATCAGTTTGCCACCCACCCACAAAAAAGGAAAGGCAATGATTTGGACCCGTCTAAAATGGGTCGAACCCCAAAGGAAAGGTCAACCCAAGGTTTATCAGTCAACCGGGTTCCCATTCTCGTTGCCATCTGGACGAAAGTGCATGGCACAATTCCCTGGTTTGGATTTCAGCACCCCCCCTTCTGTAGCGACAAGAGCACCGCACTGTCTTAGGGGGCTCGGTGTTGCAAACCAATTTCTGTCGTTTCGCTGGTCAACTTGCAGGCCAAAACCATACCTCAATTGTTTAGGCCCGACTGGATGGGTGTTTCTCAACAGGGATCCCCTTTTGGCATGGCACAGCGAAACCAACAGGCAACCAGTGGGGGTCCCAAGTTTGAGAAGCACCCGGATCTTGATGGTGACTCACATGGCCCGGTATTTTCGTGTTTTTTTTCCCCAGGTTGCTTTCACCCGAGGCTGGGTTGTCACCTGCAGGCGACTCGCCTGGAAGCTTTTACATCGGTACATTGATAAAGCCTCAAGACTATCGGCTTTATCCATAATGTTGAGGCGTTTTGGAGGTGTTGTGTTCCGGTGTTCCTCTTGGAACATCCAACTGAGGTGTTGTGTTCCTTTGCTTCTCTTGGAACATCCAACGGAGGTGGCGTTTCCCTACATCAGCCTCTTGCAGGTTTCCCTGCAAAGTCAAGCAAGCCCCCCCTTTCCCCCGCCACCACAAAAGGAAGAAGCTCAAAAAACCAACCTCTTGAGCATAGGTGCCCTTTTCTAGCTTGATTTTCATAGAACTAGACGGCACTGGTTTAGTTTTTGTTTCCCCCCATTTGCCAGGGCCATCGATTTTTCCAGATTTTCCAAGAGGCCTCTTGGGGTTTCCCCGGGAGGTCCGCTAGTTGGAAGCTCCCGGCCAGGGTGTCGCCCACCAAGCGCCCGGAGCGCGAGCCCAAAGGCAGAGGCGCCTCCGCCCGGGGCTCGAGGAGCGGCCGCGCGAGTCGGGCTCCTGTTGGGTTTGGGTTGCTCTTGCCTTGACTGCTATTGGCTTGGATCTTTGGACTTAAACGTTTTGGGAGTTGAAGGGGTTTTCCACGAACCCCCCAAAGAGTCAAGCTTTTTGCAGGGGGTCAACAGCAACCAAGTTGCTTAGTGGTTCAAGGCCGTCCGCCGTGGGTCATAGGCATCCAGTTCCTTTGGTTTTTTGTTGGATTTTGAGTTGGTTGCGTGGCAGCTTCCACTAAACCTCTAAAAGTTGGACTTTTTTGCAGAGCTAAAAACGGAACAGCTCAGATTGGGTAAACCAAAAGTGGTTACAATTTTGGGTCTGGTTCTTTTATGTCTTATGGGGAATGGGATTTTTGGACTTTCACACTTTTTGGTTGAAACAGGCCGGATTTTCCATTCGACCAAACTTTTTGCAGAGGGGTCAACAGCAACCAAGAGGACTTGAGTCACTTCCGGGGCCTAGTTACTATTTTAGAAAGGTAAGCAAAAAGGAGTGCATGGTTACTTGTTTGCCTCCACTCGTTCGGTGAGTCTTTTTGCAGAGGATTTTGAGGAACCTCAGGTTTTCATCCCAGTTAGTGGCACGATTTCTCCAATCCCGCTTTGTTTGACAAAGAGGGGTTCCATTCCTTGCTACGGTCACGTCAATGGGTTTTAGATTGGTTCCCTAAATGCTAAATGAACAACATCCGCTTCGCGCCAGTTGATCAGGTGGCTTATCCCAGTATTCATGGAGTTTGATGAAATGTGCGCATGCCAACAAGGGCACCAAGTTTTGACAACTGCGACGAGTGCTATATGTCTCGACACTACACCATGGGTTCTGACCCCAGTTTCATCAGCCTGACGGATACAGTACGGGATGTTTCCGCGAAAATTTGAGGATCCGCAGCTTCCAAGAAGGGATCTATGCACCAAAGCATGGTGAGAGGGTAGCTTCAATTTCCCCCCAAAAGCACAAAGTTCTCCAGAATGCCGCACTTGGTCAATTGACGTGGCCCCAACAGTTCCAGGTCGTTTGAACAAGCAAGCCAGCTACAACCTTTGGTTGATGGTGGGCAAGGATAATTCCTCATGCCCCACTTGCAAGGGGTGTAAGCTCCAGTTCCCCAATTCCAGTAGCACCTTTCAAAACCGTTTTTGTTTGGTGGGTCAGGTTACCCTTAGTTGGTGGTTTGGATTGGTGGTTTGGGGATGTGAACCGCTGGTTGTTGCAAAGGGTAGCTGGGCGGGGCCCCTCCTTGGAAGCTGACAAATGCTCTACCCCGAAACTCACTTCCTGAGCTCCTATGTTAGTGGTAAACAAGAAGTTTGGGTACTTTTTTTGACCAATCCACTCGTTCGGAAGTGAGAGAATGTCTTGGATCCCCTTTACCAAAGAAATGGGCGATTTCTTTCAGCCCAGGCCGCAATCATCCGCAATCTCACAGTGCCCATGCCGCGGCACGCTCAGATCGCCTTGTAGCACTGCGCGCTGTTTTGCCATGGGTGTAAGCAAGGCCATTGATCACTTTGAAGGGAAGTCTGGCCATTGATCACTTTGAAGGGAAGTCTATGGGGGAGCTTTCAGGAGCGGGTTCCGGTTGGTCAGATTTGTGTCCCTCTGAAGTTTGCCAATGGGCACCTTTCCATAAAATGATCGTGTAACCATGGACAAAGGGAGTCCACAATCTTTGCCAAGAGCGCAACACGTCACTCACCAGCGTCCCTCAAAGGATATGTTTGGGCCCCACAAAACTCAGCATTTCCGGGACTCGAGGACCCCCGTGTTATTCGCAAGCGGCTTTTTTGGGTGTCTAAAAAGCCGAGGAATTCGCCGAAAACATAGCTCCGCTTCCGACCTATATGGTGAAGAGTAGGTATTCAGCGGGCCGGAAAAAAACATTACAAATACACCAGGGTAATTAGAAAACTGGCTTGGTTTCGTTTTAGTTGTTGTTGTATGCGCTTCTGATAGCTTCGAGGTTCCCTGTGTATTTCTACCTGTTTGCTGGCTGGGTCGGGTACGAGCAGTGATTCCGTTCAAGTCAAACTCAATCCGTTCAGCAACTAGCCAATGTAGAGAGGACATTGCAGTTGGGTGATCACCTCAAAATACCTTCCCCTCGAAAAAAAATCAAGTAGTAATTCTTTCATTTGTTATTGTGTTTTTCTACCCCCGGGAGGTGGGTCTTTCAAGGCGAGTTCTTTCAGGGGGGGGGTGAGAGAAAGTAGATGGCACAACGCCCCCATTTCAGTGTCATCTGTACTTTCGCGCAGATCTTGGGCGCCCTTCTGGGGTTAATTTCGATGCGAACGTTTTCAATAAAAGACTATTTCAACCGAGCCGAAAAGGGCTTGTGTCGCCTGCCAATGCCGGTAGACCTAGAGACCAGCCGGCCCCAACCAGTAGCCTCAAGAACAAATGAGGATGTTCCACGAAGCTGGTCTTTGGGTCCCAGGTTTGTGGCAGTTGGCCCAGTGGATTCCTCTTGACGTTAAAATCCGGGATCCAGCACCCCTCCCTCCCAAAGATCACCTTGGGCGCGTTTCGGCCTTACTCGGCCTTGTTTCAAACCAGTAAGACTTGTTTTGCCCCCCAACCTTATTTTTGGTGTGGGGCTGTTCATTCCCGCAGTCACATGGTATTGACATTTCAGGGGCGAAGCGCTTCCCCACGTTTTCATTTTTCCTTCTGTTTGACTTCCATCCACATGGGCCCGGAAAGAAATGGTTCCCCAAAAGGATCTTCCATCATTGTGGGCCCCAAGAAAGAGACGCCCATGTTCTTCCATTTGGTTTCAGAATATTTGTTATTTTGCACTGTTGGTGTCAAAGGAAATCTAACACTATTGGAAATATGTTTTATAAATGTTCCCCTGTTGGTTTCTTCAGGAATCGATTTCACTACTGGAAGTATGTTGGTTTGTTCCAGGGGACGTATCCGCATATGGAGGCATAGGGCCACCCTTCCCCTCCGGTTCACATGGAAGCCCTTGGTTAAGGACACCAACAGGATCTTCCATCATTTTGGGCCACCAGAAAACCTGCAGGTCAGAAGAGAGCGAGAAGAGGCGATCGCGAGAAAGCTCCTCCGAGCGAGACCTGCCGGTGGCCCAGCGCGGGTTTGCTCAGGCGAAGCTCCCAGTCACTTCGGTCCCTTCCATTTGCACAAGAAGATATGTTTTTGTCCCTTGTTGGTTTTAAAAGGAAATTATCACTACTGGAAATATTTGTTTTTTTCCCCAGGGGTCTTAGCCAAACGGAAGGTCCGGGGGGGTGGAGAAAAGAAAGCTCTCCCAGTCTCTTTGGTTTTGGGGGGATGGGAATCCTGAAGAACAAAAATAGAGAAGAAAGCCCGAGCAACTGTACCAGAATGAAGGATTGTCTCTTGTTCCTTCCTTATTGAAATCAGCTCTACTTGGTGAGGATGCGATAGCCCTTTCTTTACCTAGCTTCTGATGGCACACTCGTTTTTCATGGTTTCATCCCCCCACTTACTTACCCATCAGCAAATTGCGCCATCTACTTTGACCCTGATTGGGGTTTGCTTCACCAACACGGAGCTTGCGCAAACCGTCGAATGGTTCGGAACCTTCAGATCTTGCGGTCCCTCAAGCCCACAGGCAGAAACGTGCATGCCAGCGCGCCCGAAGTATCTTTTTGGGCATTGGAAAAAGCAGTTGCTGGGTGCTGGTGGGTGTGTCTTTGTTATGGGGGGACCCCCAAAAAGTGTGGTTTTCGGTTGGTACCCCTTTACAACCAACCCCCGAAAACGGCACCGAGGCTCAAAAGACGAGCACATGTGTGAATTCAAGGTCCCTGAGGATGTTTGCGTTTTGAGTTGGAACCACCTGGTCCCGGTTTTTATGGGAGAACCAACAGGAACACCACCATTGTTGTGGTTTTCTGAACCCAAAAAAAAAAAAACGGCAATAGCCTCTAATAAACGAGGTTGGATTCTTTGGCACCCAAAATTGCTTGTTCCATGTCTTCCTTGTGCTTGGCCAGTGTCCCATGCTCTCGATCCTATCGGGTTAGAGCTGCGGCTAGCCACTGTCCTCTTGCGCCCAATGTCCGGAGCAATCAGACACGGGAACTCTCGAGAAAAACAAATGGATCCGTGGCAAAGGCTCAGCGTTCGCAAAACCGTATGTTTAAAGAACCTCGCATGTTTTGCGCACAGCTCAAGCTGCAACAGGGTTGCCTATGTGTCCCTTTTTGGTGGTGTTCAAGATCACTATTTTGGCAAGATTGAAAAAACCTGATTTCTTTTCTGGGTGATGCTTACACGTTGGAGACATGGGGAACTCTGCGCGCGTACGAACAAATCCCTGGAGGGTGTGAGCGGCATTCCGTTCAGGGTCCCCCAACAGATACCAGCTGCGGCCTGAGGATCCAATTCCTTGCAGAGCAGGTGTTGTTTAAATGTGCGGGATGTAGGATTCCCGTGTCTGTGTAGTTTGAGTAAAATGTTCAAACACGCTTACAACAGTCAACTCAGGCACCAAGGAAGCATGCTGGTTCAACTGGAAATGCCTGGTTCTCTTTCTATTGTTTCTTCTTTTTGGGGTTTTGGTTTGGCAACTGCCAAAAAACGTGTGCCAATTGTTTCCCATGGCTGCTGGGAAGCAGATGCAACCTGCCCGAGTTCCGGCCTTGGCCCCCAAACGCCACGAAACACACCCCCTTGGCAACCACGAAAATCGGCCTCATTGGACAAAAGCAGTTGTCGTTTGTTGTTTGTTTGGTTTCTTGTTGTTTGTAGTCTTCGTTGTTTTGTTTGTTTTTGGTTTCTTGTTGTTTTCGGTTTTCTTCCCTTTTTTTCCCCCTCTCGGGGTGCTGGTAGTGCCATGTTTATATTTTTCCCTTTCTGGGTTGTGCGCCTTAGGAACGCTTTGACTCGCGAGAAGCGCTGGAAGCTCGGAGACAGAGGTGACAGATAATTATCGGGGCAACAGCTGAGATCGTTTTAGAGGCTTTCCGCAGTTGGATAACAACCCAAGGTAACCAATTGCAATAGATTATGGCTGCATCCTCTGCTGATTGTTCAAGCCATATTTGTTGGGTATAAATCCATATAGCTGCTCTCTCTCTCTCTCTCTCTCTCTCTCTCTGCTGATTGAACAAATCTTTAAAAAAATGGGGGGGAGCTATATCCAGTTCTTCAGTGGCACACCTTGTTTCCGAGTGGATTCCAAGCCCCAAAGAAAGGTTCCAACCCTTTGCCTGCCTGTCCCAGGCTTCAGCCTTGCGTTACAAGCTTGAATAACACAGACCTCCAGCTTTGCCCACGCTGCCTTTCAACTTGAAGAGGTAAGCAGAACCATGCTGATGGGGAAATCCACGGATGTTTCCAGAGCCCAGAAAAGGCTTACATTGAATGCGGAAAAGGTCCTTGGACCTTTCTGGTATGTGTTTGTATTTGCGTGGTTCAGGTTACTCTACAAGCCTCCCAAGGACCCAATTCCCCCACTTAGTTGTCCTAATGTGGCCTTGAGGCTCGCGCCGGGCTGTTCTTTTTCCAACCAGACGGTAGCGCCTTCATCAAAGAGCAGCTCGACCCCGAATTTTGGGCCCCGAAACTGCTCCAATTCATTGGGTTGGGATCAAGTTCCAGCCTGTTGGTTCTGAAGTGATCGGGAGCTTCCACTTGCCAAAGGCCTACTTCCACCCTTCACTTGAATTGAACATGGATTGTTGGATCGCTTGTATAGAGACCCTGCTGAAGGAGCTCCTTAAAGAAGAGAAAGGCATATTTTTGTTTCAGAGCATGGCACCCAAGGCGTACCCAAGGCCCCATTGTTCTTTCCAAGCGGCAAAAGCCAAATGCGACTCTGACGGTGGCAATTCCATGTCGGCGATGCTCAAAGCCTGGGCCGCGTAGACCAGGGTGCCCCTTTGAAGTCGGCGGGTAATGGCAAAACGGGTAAACCAAAAGTCACTTGTAACCAATATGAAGCGAGTTTCACTTGGTACTGCTTGAAGAGGAATTCTAGGGACCTTTCAGGCGATCTTTGTAGGTCAGTTTGGTTAAAGGATGGCATTGGTTTCAATTTGGCTCTAAGCATTTACCCATCGACTTGTTCGAAAGGACATGGACCTTGTTCTTCGGTGCTCCAAAGGCCTGTGGAACATTGGCTGGAGCTTGTGTTTGCTGAAATTTAGATGGTGTTAATGTCCCCTTGTTGGCTCTGAAGGGAATCTATGACTACTGGATATATCTTTTGGGATTGTTGTCCAGGGAAGTTAAGCAACTGGAGGAACGGAAGACAAGAGGCCGCACTTCCAATTTTCCGGTGTGCAGTGTGGTTTCGTCTTCTCTGGCTCAGAGCGTCAATGACCCCTTGATTTTCTCATAGTTCGCAAGAGAGATGTGGTGCTTACCTGCTGGGTTCACCGTCATGAACATCTAGAGGCCCGGTTCAAGAGGACATTGAACAGCCTCAAACTTAGCCTCTACATGTTGGTCTAAAGGAAAACTGCCCCAAAGGAACTGCGAATCCCGCATCGGCCCAGATCTCTCGACAGTTCTCTTATGCTTGCAGGGCGCAGCAGATCTTGGCTGCTGAGCAACGTGTTCAACCGCAGTCCGCATGCGCATTCTGAGCACAGGTGGCCTTTGCGTGTGTTTCGCGGTTCGCTTTGGGTGCAAGTGCAGGAGAGCCCCTTTGATGAGCTGGGGATTCATCAATCAAGGTCAACAAGGCCGATTTGCCCGGAGGTAAAAATACCATCCCTAAACTCGGAACGGACCCCCCGCCGCCCCTCTTGGGATGCGGCCCCTTTTTGGCGCAACATGTCCATCTTCATCAGGGTTGCTCCGAGCCTCTCATAGATCACCTCAGCTGGTTTCCGTTGGGTTTTCCTTTGCCATGGAACAGTTTGCCTTGTGTCCCATGGTTTTTGAGCAACCCTCCCTTCTTTAAAGGGGAGGGGTTACCCTCTTAGGTCCCCCAGTAGTGCCCTTTTACCATTTTTGGAGGAGGGTTCCCCTACTACAATAGACTACAGAAAGAAGGGTACCCTTATTCTAACCTCTCTACAAGGACCTAGCCTCTGAGTTGGCCACCGATCCCAATTTGGCTTGTGCTGGACCAAAATCCGCAGGCAACCGTTGTTTGTGGTTTATCCCAGTATTCGCGGGGTTATTTGTTGGTGCAGGATTCGGTCTGCCTAATTTCTGGCGAGCTCACCTGGTACGGTGAGCTCACCATGATAAAGGTCCCTCATTTGGGGATCCCTTAGTTCAGCTTTTGGAATTGCAAAAAGCGACATGCAAGACATTCTGTCCATTCACCGCAAGCACGGATTTTCGTCAAAACGCGCGCAGTTTTGGCATCGAGGTCCCCCTGAGCCGAACGAATCGCCATGGGGTCTACCAAAGTATCCTCCAACGGCTCCCTACACTTTTTTGCCACGATAGCATGGGAGGGTACCTGGAAGATCGGTTTCCTCAATGGACTTTCTGTCCGCTATGTTAGAGGGAGGGAAAGTAAATTGTTGTTTCAAAGCACCTTGAAACCACCGGGAATGGTAAGTTTGAGAACCTCCTCAAACAATGTTCATTTCTGTTTGCAAGGGAAACCGCGAAAAGTAATTTGGCGAACCTTTGCACAAAGAGGCCCAGTTTGGCGGGCCATTCGGTTTTCAGCCTTTGCGTCCTGCTTTCAAACCCAGGGAGGTGCTGCGACAAAAGCGTTTTCCAGTGGCAGCCATGGCCACCTTTGGATAATTGCTTTTTTCGTAGGTGCATGTTGCGTCTCAGTTGTGAAAAAAGCTGATCCATTCACGCAGTTCACCCTTTGATGTCCCATTTGTTGGGCCATGCTTCATCTCAATCCCATTAGCAGGGACAAAAAGCAACCCCTGCCGCAGAAGCGGATCTCAAAGCAGTCCAGGTGCACCAAAACATGTTCGGCGGGAGGGCATGCTTTCTGGACACCGAAGGCACATATGATGTCACAATGTGAGCGCCACACAATACCAATATCCAAGCTTTTCTCCAAAAAATAGGGGCCTACCTTCTGTCCGTGTCTCAAGCCTTTCATGGCTTCTGGGGCAACGGTCGGCAAGATGCTGCATCTTTGTCAATGTGGCACCATCAAACAGAAGTCAAACCAAGATGAAGCTGGCACGTTGAAAGTTTTTGTAAGATTAATCTCCAAGATCGGAATCATGTGGTTTCCGTGTGTTCCTTTTGTCATGGGGCCTGGGGATGGGGAGGGGAGGGAGCCCAAAAAAGGCCGAAGGCTGATGTTGCGCCGGTCGGATCTTTGGAGCAAGCCTGAAAGAATCTCCCACCGCATGACCCTCGTTTTTTCATGCACATAGAATTGGGCCTCCAAGTTGAGCGGACAGTGAAGATGTAGAGAAAAGCTAGTCTTTCCTGCCCGGCCTTGTTTTTCTGTGCTCCTGTAACAAACTGCTCCCTTGGGGTTCCGACCCAACTTTGGGCCCGCCACTTCAACATGTGTCCATGGATTCAGACCTTCCGTTTCCCTTGCCAGAAAAAGAGAACTGGAGAACCCTCCCCCCTCCGCCGGGCGACGGAAACATCCCTCTCGCGCCTGCCAGGTCAAGCTCCCAGCCCCCAGCCAGCGAGCCCAGCAGTCGGACGTCGGCAGTCGAGCCCCAGGGCACGGCACGGGGCTCCCTTTGGGTCAACAGGCACCAGGTGGTTCTGCTCATTGCGGACGCCGACATTTTTTGGGCCAGCTGGAAGGGGAGTCCCCACACATGTTTTTTGTTTTGTTTTTTGCCGGTTGGAAGGCGAGTCCAGAAGGAGAAGATGTGCGGTTTTCCTTCCACGTGCAGCTCACCGGAGCAATGTGTCTCCTTTCAGAGGAACACAATTTTCGAGGGCCCTCCAGTCAGGTTCCATGTTGGTTGGGAGGGCATTTTTTTGTTCTGGCTTTGCGAGATAGTTTGTCAATTGCACAAATGTCCACATCTACAAGTAGGATTTCAGACAATCGGGATGGGGGAACACAAGTAGACGCATCTCCGGAACCTCGCAACGCCCCAAAGCCGTGGGAGCGTTGAGCCTCTAGCAGCTGTCGAAAAACCCCCACAGCCGCAAAACTTTCAGAGATACTGCTCTAGGCTCCCCATTCCAGGGAATCCTTCTTTACAAGCCACAAGGAAGCTCGGAAAAAAACAGGCCCTGGTTTGAAAGAACAGAGCGGATGTGGAAACGACAACGAGGAATCAAAAGGTTTGGCCAAAACAGTTCAAGAACCATTGGCCTCACTTGGATCTAGATTTCAATCCCCTCAATCCGCGCACAGGTTGAAAGCAAGAACGAATATACCCTCCACCTGTAGAGGATTTCGTTTTGATGACTCACGCTCTTTCAGGAAGGCCCGCCATGTTTACCCGTTGTCACAAAGAAGTGAAGAACAAAATCGAAATCGGATGGTCTCCTCCTGGGTGTCCCGTTCAGCACCATCCAAAAATGTGTCTTCAGTTGTGATATGACATCCTCATGTCCATGGGGACACACATATGAGGCTTTCCGTAAATAGCTGTATTCGTTTTTTAGTGGCTAGTGGCGGTGGTTATGTTGGTAAGCAAGTGAAACGCAGGCCGCGGAAGCTCCGCGGAAGCGGCGCGGAAGCTGCGACCTGTTATGTTCTTTCAAACTATTGGCTTGCCTTTAAACATGTTACACGCTGGTACCGAAAAGTTACGAGTCTCAAGCTGGATCTCGGAAAGTGCACCTCGCGTACTACATCTGTGTATGAAAAGTTCCAGATCAACGAGCTGGAGCTGAGAAAGTGGCCTTCGCGTACTACATTTGTACTAAAATTTTCGATTCTCGAGCCGGAGCTCGGAAAGTGCCCGACGCGCACTGAAATAAAAACCCCGCGCCTTTTCGTTATGTAAGGGGACGTCCCTTAACTTGTTTTTTGCTGGCCCAAACCATTGTAAACCGATACAGAGGAAAAAACGATACCCCTAGAAGCCATCAAGACACATGTCAGGTCCAAGCTGTTGTCGCAAACCCAGATTGCGGAATCAGACATTTGCAGGGCCCAAACCGATACCCAAACTGATGCCCAACCGATACCCAACTCATTTGCTGTTGTACAAATCAAACTGACCATGCCTGGACAAGAAAACGGTTTGGTTTGAACGATGCCCCGAACGATGCCCAAACGATGCCCATATCGCTGGCATAGCCCGCAAACTGGAACCAAGAGCCTGTCCCGGAATGTTCTCGAGATCTTGTAAGGAGATGCCTTGGTCTGGATCTGCTGAATCACCAATCGCAATTTCACAGCTGACCAGAGCAGATGAAGAGCATTCGCAGCTATGGATGCTGCAGAAGGTACGCTTTGCGCCGCGGAAGCGGCGCGGAAGCGGAGGGATCGCCGCCTTTTTTTCTCAGTGTTTTACGGAAACCCTCATATGTGACAAAAATCGGGGATGGGTTGCCCACCTCAAAACGGGTACCGTAATCAAAATATCTACAAACAGAGAAGGGGGCCCCTTTCAAGGTCTTGCATGCCCATTGGCATTTTCTTTAAGAAAACAATCAAGTCATCCACGATTTTGGGGGAGACCCATGATTTCTAGCCAGTGACACATCTCACAGGTCCAATTTTTATCCAGTCTTGGCATCAATTCAGGTTGGCGAGTACTCACTTTCCGCAATGGTGCCGCCTTGCTTATGTTTGTAGCTCAGGGTTCCACAAAAGAGCCATGGCCATGTTGGACACCACTTTGCTGTTCGCATGCGTCGACTGCTCTTGTTCTGCGAGGTTCCAATGCCAAAGTCTTCTGACGCCGGGAGGTCTCAGGGCTCAAGTTGTGAGCCTCGGCCCGGCTTCCCCACTGGGGACAGCGTTGTCCCCTTGTTGTAGGCGTTGGTTCCCTTGAAATCAACCGGCAACTTGTTTTTTACACAGGGCTTTTATCCGATGGTTCAGATTAAGTCCCGTCCAGCGACCATGTTTCCCCCTGACTTCATGGACTTTATATTTTTGGAATTTTGAACCATTTTGGTGGTCAGCAAGAAGTTAATGTGCTTTTGCGCGGTCAACTCGTTCGGGCGTAAGCATGAGGGTTTGTTTTGTTGGTTCCAGCTGAGGCCAGCCACGGTTGAGTGGCACACGCTCGTACAGGGATGCTTGGGAGAAAAGGTCGGCGCTTGGAGGTGTGTACAAGCCTGAATGGGAGCATCTAGGAATCTAAGAAGTAACTCATGTTGTAGTGACCATGATGGCGATGAGAATATATAATCTTTTTGTAGTGACCATGACCAGGGAAGGGGAAGGAATCGAGCTAGCACGAGATGCATATGTCTGATTTGTGCAGATGGCCGGAAATTGGGAAGATTGGGAGCATGGGGGGGTTGTGAAAGCTTGCCGATCCGAAGGTTCCAGATGTTTGGCGGGGATTTGGCTTCCCGTTGGCAAAGAAGAATGCAAGCACACGCCCGTTTCCACTCCATACTCCAGAGCTGATTTCCTGCACTGCTCATTTGGGTCTGGAATGATTTCGACTTGGGTGAAGGAAAACCACACCCTCCGCCGTGGTTTCGAGCAAAGGGCCCAACCCTTGCAACACCCTAAGGGATTCTTTTGGGGGGCCTGGAGGAGGGGCCCGGAAGGGAGCCTTTCATGATGAAGCACTAGGAAGAGAACAACTACTGTAAGTCTTCCAACCTACAAAAACCGGGCTAAACAATTACTAGTATGCCACTACAATCATGACCAAAAATGGATTTAACGTTCCCCACTACCCCATTCTATTTCATTCGGCCCTACGTCTTCACCACAGCTGAGATGTTGCAGCCAACTTGTGACGGACTTCGGGGACCCCCCAGGACCCGGACTTGCCCTTTGCGCTCGTGGGGGCGCTACCAGCCAGGACACACGTCGACTTTTTTTGATCCAAGCGCCAGAGCGGGGCAAGCAGTTGGACTCATTTTGAGTGGCCATGTCAGAGATCCTAAAACTTAAGACCACCAGATGCGTTTCGGGCGGAGTGAGATCTTGCCGCCTTTCAAAAGCATTTGGGCTCCCAAGTGACAACTGTGTTCCCGTCACAACTTGTGAGTCATGGCGCAACCGGACATGAAGGCCGCTGCGCGCTGCGCGGCGTTTCGCGATGCCTGCGAGCAGTTGAGATCTCCATGGTCAAAGGACCTCTTCAGGGTCTTCTAGTGGTGGCCATGAACTTGTGGTTTTGGACACCCGGTGCACCGGTGCGAAGACTCCTCTTAAGTTGAACTCACTGCCGTGGCTAGAAAGTTTGACCCTCGCACAGTTCGTGGGTTCCCTATCACTGATTGCAGTGCCTGTCAAAGCTTGCGACAAGACATGGTTGGCATCACCCCTCGGGTGAAGAAGTCACGTGCCCTGTGGGGTTTCGGGGATTTGACTTCATCTTCAAGCGCTTGAGCTGACGAGTGTGGGATCTGATGGGAGGGGTATCCCTCTTCTTGAGATGGACTTGAGTCACTTGTAAATAACAAGCTCATGTTTTTGTTGGGCCAGTCCACTCTGGAAGTGAGATAAAACTATGAGTTGCGTTTTCTGTGCTTTTTGCGGGGGGAAAAGCTGAGGTCGATTTGATCCCCATGAAATAAACAAATGCAGGGTGTCTTTACATGTATTTCAACCCATGCTCACCCCAAGGGATCATCAGAACCTCTTAGGCCTTGGTATTTTCTTTCCAAAGGGAGCAACCGCATGCTGAAGCCTTACGGGGGTCATTCATGGACATCTTGCTAACCCCTCCTAAGAAGCTTCCAAGTTCCAAGGACCTTTGGCTTTCTCCCTATGGTCATGACTCCCTTGAGAAGAAGCTTTAGGATATAGATCAATGTCTGGGAGTAAGCTCACCCGGGGGTAAAACGAGCTCACCCATGAGATTTAGTAACCTTAACCTGCTGAATTCCATATGTCCAAGCTGGTGAATGGTTTCTGCAATTTGCCTGGGTCATGTTTAAAAACAAATGCAGAGGGGCTCAACAAGAACGGTTTTTTTCCCCTGTCATCCGGTTTGTTGGTCGTGTTTCTTTCGGCCAGATGTCTGCGAACCCCTCCATGGACTTCACCAGCCTCCTGGAGGCCATGGGTATGTCAGGTATGTTTCACCCTCAAAGCGAATCGCCGGGATCTGAGCTTTTTGGTTTCCCCTCATTGGTCTGTTTGTTGTCATGGCCTAAAGGTCGAATAAGCGGGGGTCCTTTGGGCGGCCGAGTTCGGCGTTTTCCCGAAAATTCGAGGAACCACGAAAAACCGATTCGGTGCCTGGTGGCTTTGGGGAGTTGAACCCCCTTTTGACACCTGGGGGTGCTGCCCTCCGAAAGGTCCCAAATTCCAAACTCCAAGCTCCAGATTGGGAAGCGGAAAATGGGTCTGGAGCCCGGCGGTTTGGAGGTGGGTTCCCGTTCAAACTCACGAGCTCAAAGTCCAGATGTAAACCGAGCACCTTGGAAGCAGTCGCGATTCGGTTGGCGAGCTGGGAGCAACACGCATGAAGGTCAATTACTTGGGGCATCGTTCATTCAGGTTGGTTTATTGTAACTCACTTTGTTGTAACCCATGAATCATGCTTCATTCATATGTTGTTGGTAAAAAGTTGATTTGTTGTAACTTACTGTTCGAGTTACCGGACTTTACTTCTTGGGCCCGGGCCATTGCGGTAAAGAAGTTCAGACTGGTTGTTGGCCAATCCACTCCACTCACAAAGTGAGGTACAATTTTTCGGAGACTTCCGTTCGGCAAAATAGCCCACAAGTTGAGTTTCCCCAGGACCCCCAAAGGGGATGAACTAGTCAAACTTGATTTTGCCAGACCCCCTACTGCGGCACCAGGAATGCCTCCCGTGAATCAACGCAGCAGCAAATGAAGTGAACAACATCCAGGGGTTCAAAGCTTCGCAAGGAAATGAACTTGCGGGAGGAGATATTTCTATTTCCCAGCCTAAGGGGCTGCCCCCGATTTCAAGTGATCGGGCTCGTGGAGAATGCGCCGAGTTGGCAAGAAGTGTCTTCTGCATGGCTTCGGCTGCCCGGCAAGCCTTACTCTAAAATGAACAGGAACCAAAAAAAGTCCAAGTTAAAAAAAGCTACTTCTCAAGACTTCTGAGGCCCTCAACTTCGGAAGTGTTCGATCCTCAAAAAGACCAACCCAAGCCGCGCTGCGAAGTTTGGCTTGGACGTGGGGAGTTGAGCCCCCAGTTTCTCCCTCCAATTCAAGGGTTGGCTGACCAGCCCTGAAGTCACTGGATTGAAAGGGCGGTGCTTCTTAGAAGGGTTCACATACCCGCATTGCTTCTGTGATTTCGGGCTTGTCTTCAAAAGTAAGTCAAGATATGGGTTTGTTTGCCCTTTGGGGGACCCCCCACAACGGTGGTTTTCCTTTTGGCTTTCCTTTAAGACCACCTCTGAAAGAAAGGCACCCATATGTGATTGCGAGTGCCTTTAAACCCCCCAACCACTGGAGTAGCCTCAGCATGGAGGCACGCTCATGTTGCCTCAAAGCACCTCCAGGCCCTGCTTACCACCGGTGGCCCTCCAAATTCCCAACCCAAACCAAGAATGAGGAGGTGGGAGTTCAATTGTACTCAATTTCTTGATCCTTCTCTTGTCAGGGTTTTTTGCATTAGTTTTCCCAGAGGATACCGAGAATCGGCACACTTTGAAGGGTAAGCTGACGAGCGTGGACACCCAGATTCGCAACGGGCGGGGGGGGGGGGGGGGCCCTCTTCATTCCACCGCACCCAAACCGCCAACTCCGCTGGGCTTTGTCAGGGAGAAGACCGTGACAAGGTGAAGGAGATCCTCGCCCGGCGCTTGAGACGTGAGGATCGGCGCTCTAAGAGCCCATAGCTCTTAGTTGTCCCGCGCCTTTTTGGCGCCGGATGGTTTCTGAGTTCCTGAGAACCGACCATGGCCTGGCCTTTACAAAGGGGATGAATTTGTGTCTAAACCCTGATTTCGGATGGTTGCCCTCCCGGGTGCCCTTGAAGCGCAGGCCTCCAACGGCGCACTTCTTGCTTTGCTCAAAAGGTAGAAGTTGATGGGATTGTCTCCAAAATCAGCCAGAATTTGGATTGTTATTTGATGTCATGATGTAAGTTGCACTCGGTCCTATGTTGTTTTGTATCCCATGTGGGAGATCCTTGGGGTGCCCTTGTCACCTTCAAGGGTAAAGGGTTTGCAAAGGTCTAGTCCGGGCAGCCGAAAGACATCCGGTTTTGGAGGGTGCCGGTTTTGCCTTACCACCAAACCACCACCAAACAGAGAGAAGCTGCTAGGTCCCCCAGTAGTGCCCTTTTACCCTTTTTTGGGGGAGGGTTCCCCACCAGAATGGACTACAGAAAAAGGGCACCCTTATTCTATCTCTACTGGAGGACCTAGGCTGCATCCTTTAGGGTTTGAACCCTGGTCGCTGCCTATCTTAAAAAAACGGGGCCCCGAGGCTGAGAAGGCCCAGCCGGGCGAGGAGAAATCCTCCGACTGCAAGATGCAGAAGCAGATGTCCCGAATCTCAACTGAGGCGCGGTGGGTGGATGGGTGGACCAAAAAGAATGGGGTTCTCAGAAGAAATCGACATATTGTAAGCAGCAGGTGCCCGACACAAATCATGTTCTAAGGCTGTCCACTTTGAGGTTGGCTAAGTATGCAAACCATATGTTGAAAGGTTGGCTAAATGTGGCACAGCTTCACAGAAATCATAGCGGTGGGCCAAGAACATTTCCTGCGGCTAATGAAGCCCGGAAACCTGGGGGATAAAGAAGCACCAAATGGACCTACGGTTTCATCCCGGGGGGATTTGGTGCGGTACAGTCTTTTGGGAGGGGTGTTATTTGACAAAGTAAGTTCTGTCCCTCCCTGACCCCCAGGATCTTCCCTAAAGAGGGTCCAGAAGACTGGTTTCACATTTTGTAGGTCGATCAATTAATTGTCATAACCCATGACAAAACTAAAACTTACTGCATTGACAAAGCTTGACTTCCTTGACATCCAAGAATTACACACGTATTCTTGCGTTTTACACCATGTTCAAACCAGATTCGCGTTGGGCCAAAAAGAGTTAAAGGAAACTTCTGGCTGAACTACGCATATACTTCCGCAAAGTGAAATTCATATGTCGGGAGAGGCCTCGCAGAAAGGAACCGAATCACATCTCAGGTCGCACTCATGTGCACAGGCTTCAAGTAACACCCCTCCTAAAAGACTGTACCGGACAAAAGCCCCCCCGGTATGATACCGATGTCTAGTGTTGGACCTGCTTTCATGTGCCCCCCAAGAGAGGGAGAGAAAGAGAGAGAGAGAGAGAGACAGAGCAAAAAGGAGAGGAACAACATGGAAGACACACCAAATTGTTCACTGGCCCTGGTGGGCTTGCGCTCTCGACTGCGCAGGCTTCAGTGGGTACTGAAGAAGAGGCCGCAGCAAGCCGGAAGCCGTTTGACATCGGCTTGGCACGTCCAATGCTAACACGCCGGTGCCACATGGCATATGAGTTTGTTTCAAGATCATGGCACATTAGTTTGTCTCCAGATAGGGGAACCCTGAGGCACATTCATTATTGTGGAACGGGAATTTTGGAAACCAAACCTGTTTCTAAGTGTGAGTCCGTCACGACAGTTTGTCTCAAGATAGGGGAATCCTGAAGGGCAGGTTTACTTTGGTTTCACCTGTCAACCCCAAAAGGGGTCGCATGAAACACAATATGCACACCCACACCATGTTGAAGTTCCTTCCAGGTTACAGGGTTGGTCAATTCCGTTATGTTTGCTGGATCGATTTTGCCTGGAACCACTTTGGGACGGATATTGCATTTTCTTCCCCTAGTTGACGTATTCGGCGCAACGGCAGCCACGTTAAAGTCCCCCCCCCCCTAATCCAGTGATTCAATTTTTGGGAGCTGAGAGAACCACCTCAAAAGGTGCAAGGTTCGATGTGTTTTTGCTGGCGAGACGGCTGTAAATCATGGCAACCCTAAAGTTTTGATCCATTGGTTCATGGGCCAAAACCGTTGGGCCGAGCCGTTACTTGAAGGTTCAAGATTGGATTTAATACCAAGTTGCGTGGTTTCCGTCGTGGGTCCAACCACCCTGCTCCCGGTGTTTCTTTCAAGGGCAAGCCCAACCACCCTGCTCCCGGTGTTTCTTTCAAGGGCAAGCCTCGTAGCAATAGAGTTGCTGCCGCGTGAAACCACCTCCATGCGCACGCATGGTCTTACAGGCGATCAGAAAACTGCTAACAGTTCTTGTTTAGCTTAGTCCTTCTCAAGGTGTAGTTGAAGGGGTTGGATTGATTCGGGGACGTTCCCGAAAGGTGTGAAATATGAAGCCCCTCTCACAGCTTAGACCTTCGAGCTGTCTCGCGAGAGATGTCCTAAGTTCCAGTCCAGTGGCAACCATAGGTGTCCATTTAAAGTGAGTTTTGGTTAGCAGTAGATGCGTTCCACTGATTTAGGTTAGTCTTATGCCGCATATACGAGAAACAAACCATCTATTTAGAAGAAGGACGCCTGTGGTGGCACCTTTTATCCACCCTAAAGTCCCATTTTGCTCAGGGTCGCTAAACTGGGAACATCCCGTGCGAAAAAGACAACCAAAGCCCCGTTAGATTATACTTGCTGCTCTTTGGTTGCATCTTCAGGCTTGTTTTTAATCCGGGGAAAACCGATGTTTTGCGCACAAACACTTATTGACCCTCACTCACAACTTTATATTAGTTGCGTTCAACAAGTTCCGCAACCGACAAGAACGCCCAGGCAAAAACAACCAACAAGTGTCGACTTTTTTGCTAGCATACGTCATGTGTTTTGTTTTTTGTTTTGCTTGTTAGGCCCGGGTTGCCACTCGCCTGGGTCTGGGCCTCGAGGCAAATCCGTGCTTCCAGTACGAGGCGCCTTCTTGGGCCCAACCAAACTTCACTGATAGGCAAGCAGACGTCCAAAATGGTGGGATTTCCTTTGGATCCCCGTTAAACAGAACCAAAAGGGGTACCCTGAAAAGAAGCCGCAACCCACTATAGTAGGTCACCCTTCGCCACTTTCCAGTGGGTTTTCTTGTGTGGCAAGGCCTTGGTTACCCACGCCGAAAAACCGGTAAATAGATCCACTGGGTGTTCCTTAAAAAAACGTCCGTGGAGTTCTCTGTGTCAACAGTTGTCTTCGCCAGACTGGACGTGTCATGTTTCGTGCGGCCAAGGTTTCGGGCGCGCTTTGCGATCTCACCTTCCGTGCGCGGAAAACGATAACGGAACGGAAGCCCGTGGGCCGGCCATGTTTGAGGACTTTCTTTGGTTTGGTGCTGTAAGCTTCACCCATGGAGTGAACGTCTTTTATTTGGCCGGGGGTGGGGCAAAAAAATCCAAAAGCTGAGGTTGGGTAGCGCAACAGGCGGTTTGGCATGTTTGAGACGGGGTGAATCGCCCTGCCCAGCCTTATGGTGTTTTGTGTTCCCGGTGTAGTTTGCGCGGAAGCCTTTAGTGGAGGTTTGGAGTGGTGGTTTGGGGACTAGAACCCTGCACACAGCATCTGTCGTTTGCCAACTCTCACAGCTCAACTCAACACGAACCCAACTATCAGTACGCTTGGGGACACCATGTCGGAATTTAAGGACCGGAACAAAGAGAGAATGGGCATAGCTCACCTTGAGCGATATTGGTTAGCATCAACGTGATCCAGGCGTGATCACGGCAAGCCTTAGCTTCCCTTTAGCCTCCTTTACTTTCCTTGATTCAATGATCCTTCTGCACAGGTGCAGTAACTCCCTTTGCCTCCTTACACGAGCCCATGCTTCGAGCTTCCGGAATTAATTTGCTAATACCGAAGCCCAGGCAGAAGGACCCAATGGTTTCTGGACATACCGACGATCTTCGCACACGCATGCGGAGAAACGCGTGCGGAGAAACAGAAACCTGTTTTTTTTGTGTTGTTTTTTTCTCTTTTTTTTCCCGGGGCTTTTTACACATGCCACACATCCCACCGAAAAGGACGACAACTGATCGCAGGCGGTGAACCTGGACGTGCCAGTGGTCATTGTGGCTTCGGAGGCGGCTTCCTGCGTCAGCGGGTTCATTTCGGTGCAAAGGGGGACCAAACGAGGATTGGATATTTTTTGTTTTTCAGACCCTCAACAAAAAGGCACCCAGCGAATTTCCCCTTTTCGGCTTTAAACATCAGACGTTTGTGGGCGTTTTAAGGTGAGTTGCCTTTGGTAGGGATGATGTTTCAAGGTGATACATGACAACGAGCGAATTGGGGCCCAAAATGTCAACCCTGGATTGTTCAACCTGGTGGATGAATAGGATCCAAACCAAGCCAAACGCCAGTTAAATCACGCAAGTTGTTGGGGGGGGGGTCCGTTTTCCTGTTTGCTTCATGGGGAATTTGCAAGGGAGCTTCTAAATCTTTTCTGAAACTTCTATATAATTCCTTTTTGTTTGTTGGGTTTGGGGCCCAATGCAAATTGTACGTTCCTAGAAAGGATTATAATTGTCTACCAGTGCCACCAGGCAAATGAGAGTGAGCAAATTGGGATGACTGACGAGCCCCCTCATGTATGACAAATCAAGGGTCGTACCAGGCCTTCATCAAAGTTGTTACCCTGCACGGGTCATTTAACGGATGCACCTAAAGTCACCTGGTGGAAGAACCCCTTTGACATAGCGGCTGCTTTTAGTTTGGCCAACATTTGGGCCCACGAGGCCACTTGATTCCGGCTCAGATCCCCTTCCCCGTTGGCAGTTTGGACCTTTGGGTATTTTAAGGGAAGCCAAAAGGAATCCATGCATTTTTAAGGGACCCCTGGATGTTTTTGGGGCCAATCCAGACCAGAATGAGTGGAAGCTTCATGGCGGAATATGTGGGCTTTGCTTACGTGCCGGATCCCCTAGATAGGAACTCCTCTGTTTGTCCACCAGTTTCAATCAGGGTGCCCAGTACATTGCTAGGACCCCCAAAGGATGGTTGTCTACACTTTTGCCTTTGCACATTTCCTTTGTTCTCTCTGACTGCAACAAGCATACAGGCTGACACAAAGGTGTGGGACGACTACTGTCTTTCTGAAGGACCTGTTGACTTCTCGGAATGAGGGAGGGGGCGGCTAAAAGCTAGATGTTTCGGGGGCATTTTGTGTTTCCCCCAGCATCTCTTTCAATTTTACATTCTTTCTCATGTGCTGTTCTGTTTGCTTCCTTCAGGTTCCGCTTGAATCAGCCAAGGTTCAATTGTGGCAGTGGATTGGCTCAGCCAATTCCCCCGAAAGGTGGTGTTGCATTTGGATTTCATTTGGTCTTACCAACTTGTTGCAGTCTAGATTGTCCAAATCGACCGGATCTCACCTCGTTTCCCCTTTTTGGTCGACTAGTCATGGCCTTTAAAAAGGTTCACCGGTTCACCTTTTTGTTTTTTTAGGGGTCCTTTAACAGCAGAGTTCGGCTTCCCCCGAATTTCAGGTAACACAAAAAACTGGTTTGGGGCCCGCCGGCTGGGGGATTTGGACCAAACCTTTGGGCACCAACTGGGGGTTTTGGGTTGCGCTGCCGAGATCCACCCGTGGTCCAAGAGTGGCGGGCTCGCCATCGTGGCTGGGCAGCCCACGCCCCCAGTTTGCTTGATCGGTTTGGGACGCACTCCCTGAGTTCATGGACTTTAGTCACTTTTGGAACTTAGACCGTTTGGTGGTAAGCAAGAAGTTTGGACTTCTTTTTTTGGCCAACCAACTCAGTATCTTTCACTTAGTTGCCCAAAGCCGACCTTTTGACCTTTTGGTTTTCCCGTTTTTTTCCATTTTTGGCCTCAAAAGGTTAACCTTTTGTTTCCAGGTCCTTTGGGCAACTGAGTTCATGTTCACGCACCAGCTTGTTGGCAAGGTTTGGTGAACATTTCTCGGGCGGTTTTTGGGCAGATGCCTCGATGGCTGGGAGTTTGAACTCGGAGCAAATCAGAAGCTCCTGGCTTTGCCAGGCTTGTGTGAGTTGGCACACCTCAAAGAAGGGAGGAGATCTACAAACATGAGACCAAACAAGTGGGCGCCCAAGAGGGGAGCTTTCGGACATGGAATTCGGAGTTTCTTGATTTTCAGATTTGTTGCTTGAGAAATCTGGTTTCGGTTGCTTCAGTTCGGTGGCCTGCTCAGCCCGCACGATTCCGCGCGATGTCTTGAGAACATGGCAGACCCCATTTGGCTACAAAAGGGGCTTTTAAGGGGAACGACAGAAACCCACCCGATTTTGCACTTTTGTTTGTGGATGGCCATTTAAGTGGCACCCAACAATATCAGACCATTCGCCAACCCACGCGAGTTTATCACCTCACAATGACGCATCCATGGCAACTGGGTCATGTTTCTCGAGGCGCTCGGGTTTTCAGCCGACCGGTCGAGGTACGCGTACAATTTTGCGGTGCGCGGGCACAGCCTGGCGCCCAAGTGAATTCAGGGAATCGCTGGGATGCGCGGATCCATGGTTTCTGGGAGAAAACGGGGATGGTGCTGGCAAGAGATTTTTGTTGTGGTTGCATATCCCAGGGAAAAAAGGCACCTTGTGGCAGTGGTCTTTTTTGGGGGGTGGAAACCAGGGTCTCCGATTTGGTTAAATGTCAAAATTGGGTGGGGGAAATCTGGAAGCTGAGCCACGGGCTTGGGCAAATGAAGCTACGAAGCATGGATTGAACGGAATCATTACTTCACTTGAGGAAGACTTGTTGTGGCAAACAAGGCTCAGTATATCCCAGCAATTGTCATTTTTTGTTTTTTAATGTAGACCTTGGTTACCGGCGCCCATTCCGGCAGGTCACAACTATTTGCTCAAGTGGAAATGAGGGAACGACTTAATATCATTTTTGCCTGAGCTCGTTTCACAGCTCCGCCAGGATCAGAGACCCAAATGCCCAACTCTGCTTGCAAACGTGTATCCAAGCAACACATGCTTCAGAAGAACAAACCTCCAAATCGACTGGAGCTACATGTGTCACTGGCTTCAATACATACTGAAAGGGACCTTAAACCTGGTCAAAGGCGGACCCTACTTTGCTTGCGCAATTTGTGCAACAGGCCCAGCTGACCCCTGGGCAGTGGGCCAAAAGAGATCCGGATTCTGACTAAAAGGCTAAAAGGGGACATTTTCCGAATCAAGATCAACCAGGGATTCATGAACAGCGCCATGCAGGCAGCGGACGCCTTCCCGAGGGGCTCTTGGGGGGGCTCTGGCGGGGGGAGTGGGTCTTGGCGGTTTTGAGGGTTTCGGACTCAGGAACCATGGCCATCGCACCCATGTACGACGACTATGAGGGCGCCTTCTACCAGCGGCTCGACGGCCGAAAAAACGGGTCTCAACTGACCAACCTGTGTTTCTTTAGGGGGCCGGGTCCCTAAAATGGTGTTCCTGTAAAGCCAAAAAAGGGGCACCCTCAAAAAAAGACACCCAAAGGAACCCAAGAACCGTAGAGAAACTCCTGGGAAATGAACCCACTTGGCTTTGGAGATGCTTCACTTTTGTGGGCAGGCACCTTCTAGTACCCCACCAGGTCGAATCCAGGGTCGACGTGAGTCACCTGTTCCTTCCATGTTGTTTGGCATGTTTCTGGATAGCACCCAAAGTCGGCCCTCCCAAAAACTGCTTCATCAAGGGAACTTCCTTGCCAGAAAATGGCCCTGACACCAAGTTTGTTCCGCGAGCATGGCCTTTGGCACCTTGCAACTAAGGTGTACCAAGAGCTTCGAGATTTTCGGCGCGCATCACGAGGTGAGAGCCTTTCGTGCAATCGAGCCGCAATCAAAACTCGGGTTGAAGATAGGGGTGAGGGTTGATCCAACCCCTGTTTAAACGTTTTTGAACACAACCTCCTGAAATTATCCTTAGAGGTCAAGCCCTCGTTGTTTTAATCAGTTGTAGCATAAAAAGGCAGATGATTTCCCCTTTCGATTCTTTCCCCCGTGGCTCCAAGCCTTTACAAAGCTCACCACAAGAATAGACAAATTGGTCTCAGGTCCTTTTGCTTCTCTTGGGTCCAGAGTCCAAGTGGAGTCCACCCCTGACTTTGGAACTCCTGGGCGGTTTGAAGATGGGTGTTTTGCCAGCTCGAAGATGCACCCACAGCCGCAGTGCTCGCCGGAGTGCTCACGTTTCCTTGGCTTTGCCAGGTCATTGTGTCATTGGAGCAAAGAGAAGCAAGCGGAATGGAAGCAAAAGGGAAGCGGGCGGCAAAACCAATCCAGACTTTAGTGGCTTCATGGACAATTTCAACTTGAACCACCCTCCCAATCAACAACTGGAAGCTGACAGGAGTGTTTTGAAAGACTACTTTCCTTTCAAGGGAAGCTACCTGTCCACTTGTGTTTGCTACTAGGCGCTTCGAAGACACCCATATTAAGTTAATCAGGGGAAAGAAGCCCTTGTGTGGAGGCCGAATCGCCAACAGCAATCGGCGAAGCCAACAGCAAGCCGCTGGACCCAAAGAAGCCAACACGCAAAAGAGCAAGAGCGCAAGCCGCTCGACCCAAAGGGACCCGCACAGAAGAGGAGGAAGGGACCCGCGCCCTCCGCCGGCCCTTCCGAGGTCCGCTACTTTCATCACTACCAATCCTACGGAGATGGAGCCTCGACCAGCGAACATGGGGGAGCTGGGCACAGCCAGTTGAAGGGTGGCGGAACCCCCTCTTGGGTGCTTGCCAAAGGGGCGAAGGAAACAGACCTGGGGGGGGCTATTTTGAGAAACGGCATGGCACCTGGACAACTGGACAACTCCAAAGCGTTTTTCTGCCGGACGCAAGAAGGAGGTTTCCCAGAGACTATTCAGGTTGCCACTCACCATGATGGGAAGGGTTCAGTGGATCCAGTTCAGTTGTGCAAGGCCCATAACGGGGTCTACCTAAGGCGTATCAGACAGGCTCAGTTTCTCCCGCTGGGGGCGCCATGGGGGGGATTTTGAGGGTGCCATGTTAAGGTGGCCTTGTCAGGCGCTTCAGGCCATGGGTCAATGGCAGCCTGGGCACCTCCCAGAACCCATCCCAAGGAAAAGAGTTCCTGGCACTCCACTTCCTGGCATCTTGAGTTCCTCCGGATTTTGTTTATATCCGCACTGAAGCCTGCGGATACGACTCACCCCAATTTCTAGGGGTTGATTCCCCATTCTTTTCGACCATCGTTCTTTTCAACAACCAGCCGTGTTCCCTGGGCTTCTGAAGGTTTTCTAGAAAGAAGGATTCCTGGAAAGAATGGATCTGGAAGGTACCCCTAGACAATTCCTCGGCAAATTGCGTGAACGAAAGGCAAGGGCTGCGACTACGTCTTTGTGGACCATCCATCCTTCCGCAGGCGCGAGGGTTGCCCAGCGCTCGGCCGTAACCCGGGATGAACCCCCTGGGTGATGCATAGCTGCCGCTCATTAGTTGGGATTTAGACCACTTTGGGAGGGAGGACGGACCCGTTCATCAATCCGGGGTCAACGTCAGCGGGGAAAGGGACCTTCAACATGTGGTGGACCTAAAAGCCATGGCCGAAGATTGCGCTGAGATTGCGCTGAGATTGCTATACCGACCTGTGGACTAGCATGTCCGATTTATATATGGCTTGTCTCTTTCAAGTGCTTGGACTTATATGTTTGGAGCAAAACGTTCAATCGTAAACCAAAGCTTAGACTCTTTTTGCGCCAAACCCACTCAGGAAGTCCGGGGTGTTTTGTAAATTTGTGTCTGGATTCAACATGAAGGCTCTTTTCCAATATATGTTCGGTTACAAGGCGATGGCTTCTGACAAGAGTTGGCGAGGCCGGGGGGTCTCTACCACAACCTGTCGGACAACCAGGAGCCGGGGGAAAGCGGCCGCGGCCCGGAAAAGGGGCCCGCGGCCCGAGGCTTGCGAGTTGGTGTTGGTCCTTCCACTGGCTGACTGGCAAGAATGTCGTTGGTGGCACCAAAAAATGCACATATATTTTTTTTAAAAAAAGAGAGAAGAAACGGGGAAAAAGAACAGATAGAAACAACGCACATGAGAAAGAGCCCTGAGCAGCTGCCCCAATTGCAAGGTTGTGGGAATGAGGGGTTGGTCCCCACGGAAGCATGCTCCGGCGTCAACGCAGATTTTGAAGCGATTCCCATTTAACATCACCGAGCTGAAAAGGCATATCCCAGCTATCGCACACACCCCGGCAAATAGATCTGAGCACAGCATCAGGGGGAGGCTGTTTAAGCAACATTTCCCCCCTGCAATATCGATCATCGTTGATCAGCCATCTCTCGCGCTTTTTGCGACTTTTCCGGAAAGAAGAGTTCTTGGTAGGAATGGGGGACTCACACTGGTTCTGGCACACTCGCCGCTTGTGGCTCGATCCGTGCAGGAGTACTCAGACAACCTGTTCAGGCAGGAGCGTGAGACAGCGTCCAAGCAAATCTTCGGGCAACTTAGCCAAATCTCTTGCTTTCGGCGCATGCTTGGCAAGTTTCAAGCCGCACGTACAGTGGCCTGTTCTTTTCTTCCAGCTGTGTCGGGGTGGATCTCCGTTTTGCTTTTCAAGTGCACTCGAGATGTGCGTCTCGTGGAGGCTTGCCTGGGGGCTTGTCTCTTGGAGCCACGGCGTGTCACAGCATCTAACATGGGGCCTGTGTTTGAGCTTTTGGTGGCGCCAGCCACGTCGAGTTTCCATGGAATTTGGGCACTGGGCTTATTGGGTGTGCAGCTTGTTCACCCTTTACAAGTAGCGTTCGATCGAAACCAACAGATTAATTTTTGAACATGCAAGTCCACGCACTCCTGGGGTCCTACGGGGGGATGGCTGCTGCTCTCGAAGAGGGGGAAAGGACACTGGTTGCAACCGGCAAGGGAACTTTGGCCGGTTTTGGTCTTTGAGAGTGCGACCAGGCCTTGGACTTAGCAGGCTTTCACTTGAACATTTTCCCAAAGCGACTCGACCTTGTAACCTGTTGGTTTCCCTGATTCCCTGATTTGATCCATAGCCAAGGTTCCAACAGGCCCTATTTCCAGGTCCTCTGGGCCAGCGAGTAAAACCAGGTTTCAAGGCCTGGTGGGTCTCTCCCTCTTACCAACTTTTTGGGAAGGGCGGACATAAGTAGAATGGGGGGGGGGGGAATGATCATCAGGGAACGTGTTAGTTCAGCCCTGGTCTCTCTTCAAAGCAAATCAGCCGCAAATCAGCCCACAAGGACTTCTGTCCTTTCGCCATGCTCTTGGAGTCCCCAGACCTGGTGCTAAGTTGTCCATGTGTAGTTTTCCCAGGAAACCAAAAGGGGCACCGCCTGTAACGGCTCGCATTTCAATAGGGGATCGCTCGAAAGGTAGGAATGCACCGGAAGCACCAGTTGGATGGTTTATGTGGGGGTTCCCTCCTTTTCTGCTGGCTCTCCAGATGACAAGTGATGAGCATGTTCAGGCGTTTCTGACCAATCTGCGGGCGTGATTTGTTCGATAACTCGCACCTCTTTCACCCGGAGGTAGCTGAGCTCCCCCCCGGAGAAGAAGCCCATAGCAGCTTGCTCAAGCTGTTGAGGGGACCCTATTCTGAGGGTACCCAGTCGTTTTTGCTTGGTGGTTTCCCACTAAGCAGGACCCAAGCAGATTCCCCTTTTTCTAGCGGGTCACTTGTTGCAACTGGGCATATGCTAGGGCAAATTTTATTTTCTGGCAGATGGGTGTCAAGTGCAAAGCCCCTGCATAGGCCTCCCTCCCAACAGGAGATGAAAGGTTAGATATGTAGGTTCCATATGATCCAGAGTCTCGTTTTCACAGCCCCATGTTTACCCATTCCATCTGGGTGAATTATAACGACCTCACACGACCTCACCCAAATGGTGGTTTATATGGGGAATAGTTTCCCAACGACCTTATTTCAGGTAGGTGAAATATATATTATTTCACCCAGATTCCCTGTTTATATATGTTCCATATATTTGCCCGAAAGCCCCATGTCTACCCATTCCATCACTTCCTTTTGCCTCAGCCCCACGCCCCATTATCCAGAGTCCATCCTCCGCCACTCTTCCACTCGAGACGCGCGCAGGTTCGCCCTCTTCTCGCTGGCCGCCCTCGAGGATCGGCACAAAGGAACAGCGGAAGCGTAGGGGAACTCTTCATCCCTGGCTTCCGGTTCCTCAGGGTTGCTCAGGGTTGCTCAGGGTTCCTGAGGGATGTTTGTAGTTCCTTGGAGTTTTTCAGGGTTCCTGAGGGTTGTTTGTTGTTCCTGAGGGTTCCCTTAGGGTTCCTTAGGGTTGTTTGTTGTTCCTTGGGGTTCCTGAGGGTTCCTTAGCGTTCCTTACGGTTGTTTATAGTTTCCTGCATTTCCAGGGTTCCTGAGTCATGAGGGTTCCTTAGGGGTTGTTTATGGTTCCTTGGGACTTAGGGTTTCTTATTGTTTTTTTAGTTTCTTGCATTTCCTCAGGGTTCCTGAGGGTTGCTTAGGGGTTGTTTAAAGTTTCTTTGGGTTCCTCAAGGTTCCTTACTTTTCCTTAGGGGGTTGTTTGCAGTAGTTCCTGAATGTTTGTTTAGGTTCCTTCAAATGCATCAGGTACCAAACCATCTCGTCCTTTGATCCGGACCTCTCCGCAGGTTCCCGTGGCCATTGAGCTGGGTGGCGCACCTTGCTATGGTGGACGGGCTGCTTGGCCTAGATATTTCCGGCCTCGATTCGGTGCGTGAAACGGACAATGTTGCCCCATGGTCTAGGGCATTTGAAAATTTTGGGATCCAATTCTGATCTCGGAATCCTAGGAGTGTTCTAAGCCACACCACCCCATTCTGAAGAGCTAACCCAATTATCCCCCAAAATGGATGCAACAACAATTGCCATCGAACAGTCTACCCAAGCAAGGCTAAAACTCAACTGTTCCCATTCTCTCCCTTTGCCGACTCCCAGCAGCCCACCAGGCCTCTCCCAAGCAGGGGCGGTCAGCCTTGCCCTTGTTGTTTTGCCCACATCCATGTCATGAATCATTGCCAAGGCGACACTGACAAACATAAAGCCCGTGGCTTCACGGCAAGCATTGAAGCATCCTCCTGATGGCACCGCGGGCCCCTCATCAGCCAACCCACCAAAGTGGTGCCCGCGAGCCAATTTTCCACAAGCTTCCAATTCACTTCCTCATTCTTTCAATGGGGGCCCACGCAGCAGCCCACGCAGCAGTTGTCATCACTTTCGGGAGGAAAGACCGGAAATCCTAGAAAATTGGATGCTTGGAAAGAATGGGTTTTAACCGAAAATATGGCCTCATACAATACTTCCCCATTCTTTCTGGTTTTCCAATTTTCACCCAAAACAGATGCAAAAACGCAAACAATAACAGAGACACACTGACCTTTGATTGAAAGAACGATGCTGGGGACAGAATGATGGGGTTGGGAAAGAAGGGAAATAATGATGGTTGTGGGGAAAGAACGATGGTTGGGGAAAGAACGATGGTTGGGGAAAGAACGATGGTGGTGGTGAAAGAACGATGGTTGTAGGGAAAGAACGATGCCCCTGAAAACAGAACGCTGCCAGTAAGATCGATGGCCTGCAGCGGCATGACTTTGGCAGGTCAGGGGAAGGGGTTGTCTAGTCTATTGGCCCTACCCCTAGCCCGCGGGACAACTTTCTGCATGCGTCAGTGCTCGCTGCAAAAAAAATCAAAAACTGAGCCGAAACCGGCTGGAAAGACCGATCGTTGCACTGAGTGCGCGTGTGACGAAAGAATGGGGAATCAACCCTTAGAAGTGTTGATGACGGAAAACGCTTGTTTAGTGTAGCGGGAGTGGGGTGGAGGGGGAGTCGCCAAAGTGAACAAATGCGGGGCGTTGTTGCGCCAAAGTCACGCTAGACTGCACCCCATTTCGTGCTGCTTGTTTTCGATTCAGGTCTGGCAGTTTTCTAGTCGCGAGCGCCTGTTTCAAGTTATGCACACTCCCCCTCATTTTCTGGGCGATGCCAGTGATGCTGAAGATGATGATGCTCGTCTTGCCTTCCCCTTGCTTTTCCCCTTGCTTTCCTTTGCACACATGCTGCCATATGCTGCCGCAGATCAGCGCAGTCGCTTTCGGTTGTTGCCTTGCTGGTCAGATTGCACTCGCCCCCAGTCAGAGGTGTTTCGGCTTTTGGCATCCCACTTGTCCAAAGCGAATCGACCTGATCTGTTAGTTTTCCCATGTTGGCGCTGTTTTCACTTCGGCAAGGTTCAATAACATGTTGCTTGCCTGTCAAGTCCCGTGCGCAAGTGAGGTGTTGGCTGTGTTCATTGTGGGCTAAAGCGTTAACCGTAGGTGGTCGCTTGTCTTGACTCTTAATAAGTATCCACTTGGGCCACCATTTTGGCTCAAGTGGACCTTTTGATCTTTTGTCTTGTGATTTGAAATCTTTCTTTCCCCTACTCTCAAAGCCATGTACGCCCCCGCCTACGCTGGTGCCGCGGTAGCAGAGGCCAAGGCTAAGGCAAAGGCCTCCATGGCAAAGTACCTGGCGAGCCTCGTGAAGAGGGAGGAAGAAGGATGGACCGTTTTGGCTGCTGAGGTCCCTCAGGCACCTGACGAGCGTTTCTTCTCCAGCGCAGATGAGCTGGAGCAGGCCCCCCTTATCCCGGCCAAGCGCAAGGCAGAGGATGAGCCGATGGAAGATGCAGCCCCTGGGGTGGCGCAGGTGCCGAAGGCCCTGACACGCCCCCCAGGGGCGTTCCTGGAGCTCCTGAACCCGCCGGAGGAGGACGCGCTCATGGGGGAGCTCCTGGCGAAGGACGAGAAGGAGCTGCCGATGCCCAGGTCCCCCTCGGCTGCAGCCCGCTTGGAGGAGGCCCGCCTGGATGCCCGGGCAGACGCCAAGTGGCAGAGGCGCCGGGAGCTGATGGCGAAGGTCAAGGAGCAGGCGTCCTCGGAGGAGGATGAGAACCCCGCAGCCCCCCCGCCGGGGGGGAGCGTGTTCACCAAGGCCCTCAAGGTCTCGGAGGGCCTCTACCAGTTCAGCGACGACCAGATGGCGGGCGACTTCCCTTGCTTCGATGCGACCACGGCCACTAGGCTCCGCCGACTGCAGGCCAAGGACGTCCAGCGGCTCCTGCGAGGCTTTGAGGGCCCCCAACTCAAGCGGGGGGGCCTGGAGCGCGTTGTGGAGGCCTTCTACATCGCCAAGATGAAGTACGAGCATGAGGCCCGGCTCAGCACCCCGGGACAGCAGGTTGGCAAGCGCGCTGGCTTGGGGTACGGGGGCCTGGAGAACCGCCCCCTGGGCAAGGTGCCCACATCCTGGATCTGCCCCTGCTGCACCATGCCCTGGGTGAAGAAGGGCGCCACGAAGTGCATGGGGTGCGGCAAGAAGACGGAGCCCATTGACACGGCGACCAACTCGGCCACCCTGGAGATGGCGGGCACGCATTGGCAGTTGACGGTGGATGACCAGGGCAATGCGGTCTGGACGGCGGCCCGGTCCGCGGGTGCCGAAGGCCCTGACACGGACCGGGCCCGCGACCTCAAGCTCAGTGCCTCGGTGGACGTCAGCGAGCTGGCCACCGACCCGATGGCCTGCGAGAACCCGGACCAGGCCAGCTTCTCGGACTTCGTCCCCTCCTCGGTCCGGGCGGTGATCAGGAACTGCCCCATGGAGCTGGACGAGGAGTTTCTGACGGCCCCACCGGGGGAGAGGCCCCCATTGCCAGGCGACAAGGAAGAGGGCCAGGAATGCAGAGCCTTCCACCCGTCTGCGGTGAAGGCCTTCAAGATTCAGACCCGGCTCAACGCCACCACCATCGCCCAGGAGGAGGCCAAGAAGGCGGACCAGGTGGAAGCGGTGGAGCGCTCCGCGGCGGTCCTCCACGAACTTCAAGGGGGGGCCATTGACGGAGGAGGTGATGGAGGCCTGCTCCTGAAGAACCTGGACTTGGACCTCTTCCGTGAGAAGCTGCTGGACAAGCTGGGTGCGGACTGGGGGAGACCCACACCGGAGCTCCTCCAGGCCCAGACCACTGCGGAGGAGGCGAAAGCGAAACACCAAGCCAGACAGGCGAAGGGCTCCCTCGAAACCAGAATGCTCGAGCCCATCGCGCCTCCCTTCAGTGCGTGGCCTAGTGAGGTCCGGGTCGCCATTGAGACTGGGGTCTTCGAGCCGACAACGGCATGGAGGGACTTCAGTATGGACGACCTCACATCCCTCACGGACTCCTACCTTGAGGCCAAGGCGGTCATCTCGCTGGGTAGGAATCCCTTCCCGGCGGCCCTCCTGTCAGATCTGCCGGACCTGACAGGGATCCCCATGCCAAAGGCGGGGGGCTCTGGTGCGGCGCGCCCAGGTGCCGAGGGCCCTGACAGGCCGCCCACCATCCCCCCAGCCTCGGGCTCTGGCGTGACGAGCTCAGGTGCCGAGGGCCCTGACAAGCCGTCCGCCACCCCGGTGGGCCTGGACACCAAGGACCCGGAGGTGCAGCTCTCGGTCCTGCGCTGGATGATGAGCAAACGGGTCGGAGAGGTCCGTATCTTTGCGGGCCGCTGGGTCCGACGACCGGGCCCGGTACACGTCCCGGATTGGGCGAAAAACCTCACCAAGGTGAATCCGGAGGCGTTGGAGAAGGGTACGCATCCCAGGAACCACCAGGTGGGTGGACTCCCCTGGGCCAGGTACTCCGTTGATGAGTTGCACCAGCAGGCGAAGGCGGGGGACCGACCCTACCCTGGGGACCTGCGATCCATCTTTTGGGCTGCCCCCCACGATCCGGATGAGGACTTCCACTGGATGCGCCAGATCTCGTCCTGGACACTCCCAGGCCTACTGGGGATGTTCGGGCACAGCTACACCCTGCGCCAGCTCTGGGGAGTCTGGGAGTCTCTGCCACTGCTGCAGGGCCCTAGGCAGCGGGGCCCGAAAAACAAGGCCCAGAATCAGACCCGCCTGGAGGGCTGGGAGACCCTGAAGGAGGACGCGCGGTGCTTCCTGAAGGAGGAGGGCCTTCCGTTTCCGCAGACAGGACCGGAGTGGCGATTGGTCTACCGGGCCATGGGCAAGGTCCTCGCGGCCCGGGCCTTCCTCACGGACACCCCGGCGGAGGTGATGCAGCTCCCGGTCCAGGACGTGGCGGACTCCAAGGAGCAGATGATCCTGCGGGCGGTATGCGACGAGCGCATCTCGGTCCCGGTGGAGAGCCTCCAGCAGTTCCCAGAGGTGTACAAGGCCCTCATGGACCGCATTGGAGGCCCGGGGGCCCTGGCGGAGGTGAAGGTCAACTGGCGCTGCAACACGAAGCAGTGGTGGGTCGGCGCAGTCCCCGACTCAGTGGCCCCCTCCATCTACCGCAAGCTCGGCTACACCAACGACATGATCAAGCTGATGGGCCTGGACCCCTCCGCCCCTGGGTGCCGGACAGGTGCCGATGGCCCTGACATCCGCCCCAGGGGAGGCGAGGGCGATGAGGGGATCGTTTACCCCCCCATCACGGCGGACAACGTCCACGGCGTGGTGGGTAAGGACTACCGGAAGAAGAACTATCCGGTGGAGATGAAGCATGTCTTCTGGGCGCACATGGAGTGTGGCCTGGTCCTGAGCTCCGTCACCCCGTGGGAACTCATCCCGAAGACAAAAGGGGAGACCCGGGGGGGCTACATGTGCAAGTATTGTAAGGGGTACTGGCGTGCCGGGGGAGGGGGCA